ACTTCAGGGTGATTTATGAGAATGGACGGAATTTCACAGCTGAAAGGTGGCAGGTTAAACAACATTGACCCGCCAAATACCAAGAGAGAATTGGACAAAGGCCAGAGCTAATTCATCAGCTAAACAAGGGGGGGTTGGAGAGAAGAGTGCGATGTGTGTGTGACAGAGCGTCGGACAGCATAAGGTCATATATAAGTATAAGTGAGTGTATGGGGGAAAACAAGTAAATACAACTTTTTCATGAGGGAAGAACATGCTATTCCATTGATTTTATTAAAATGATGCCCATGATTTGATTTTGACGACTCAAGGAAACTCATAAAACTCAATCACTGCGGTAGAAAAAAAACACTTTTATGGTTGAAAAGCTTTAACCACAACAGTGTTATTCTGCGTACATCTACAGATGAAAGCAGCTCTCTTCCCAATACCGATTAGAGGCTCCCAGCGGGCTCCAAGCTGGTTTGGGTTCATTCAATCTCAGCCTTGATTACTCGATTGGACTCATTGATTGAAGTGGGACTGTAATGACCAATTATCTCAAGTGATAATCAGGTGTGGACAGCCCTCTCTCTGTGGGACGGGGCAGGGCTCAGGGCCAGGACGGACAGAACCTTCTGGACTCCTGCCGCTCGGACGAGTCAAGAGGTCCAACGTCTCGCGGTGAAGACGCTCGCCTCGACAAGTTTCCCTCTGGAGCGCAGTCTGTGCGACGCGGTGACATCATCTGGAGTTGGCCCAGGTCGGCTGTGACTCAGATGTCATTCTCACTCACTTAATCTTCTCTTCTTACCACCACCGTGTGACTAACCTCAGATAAAGAGGGAGAGGAATTTAGATGTAAAAATAGGGGCATGTGTTTTCTCTCGAGGTGTTCTCATTTTATTTTCTATTTATGGAATATATGCAGTTGGAAAAGTTATGTAAATGAATAGGAACTGTGTTAACTTTGTGGATACTTACTCATGGGAAAGGCCAATGATTTGTAATAGGAATAAAGACCTCACAAATTGAAAAAAGTTTGTAATGAAATCACTTTCCAAATTTGCATTATGTACTTTCACAAGTATTTTCAGCCATATCCTCAATTTCATTTATTTCTGTAACCTGGCTTCATAAGAAATGTAATTGATATTTTAATTAAAAGGCATTTTGAGGCATATTTTAAAAGAACCTGTCGGTGCTTTGCTTGTTATGTCATGTGAGAGATTGACATATATTTAGCTGGTACCTCTGCACATTTAATCGTTGCTGCGTGTGGTTTCTTCGTCAGGTTCTTGAGAAATAAATTGAGTTGCAATCGTTGTTGTAATGTTATGGCAAAAAGAAAATCCTGGTAATTGGAAACCCTTGACAGTAATATGCAACTTTAATTTCACACAGAAATAAACGGGTCTTGTAAGACATTGTTTTTTCTATAATAATCTTTGCTGTTGATCGTAGCGAAGGCACTTCCTGTGGAAAGCCGAGCTAAGCCTTGAGTTACACCTGTCTGCATCACCTCCTGTATCTCCCACCTAAATCTGCTTTGTCCCTCTCCCCCGCTGCATCCCTCTCTTTCATTATCTCCCTTTTCAATCCCAGCATCTTCAAGTCTCATCAATGCTTCTTAATTTCCATCAATACCACTGCAGCCTAAGCTCTCCCACACCTGTCCAGTCACCATGGCAACCTCACCTCTGACAGCAAAGAGCTCTGTAAGACACGCCATGCTGTATTCCCCTTGATTAGATATTGATTAAGCTTTTGTAATACATAATAGGATCAAAGGGATTGTGTAGCTTTGCTTACCCAGGTCTTCTCCACACTTTCATTTAGTTATAATCTTTTGTTATTTTGGAATCTGCATGTTAAGAGGGATGGGGTTGAGATTTGCCCCGCTTTTGTCTAGCCATGCCAAGCCTCCTTCAGGGACCTTTTCTTTATTAGTAGTTTAAAAAACAGAATTGGAGAAGAGGTGGCATGACTGCTCTTCTATGCAAATCTGCAATTTGAAGACAGTGTTGAGAGCACATTCAGGTTTCTAAGTGCCCCAGCTTATTCTCAGTGTTTGCAGCATGTTTCCCATTAAGGAACATGCTAATAGGCCCGCTGGAGTGTGCACAGCCTCCCGAATGCTTGAGTGTCCGTAATGGATGCACTGATAGATTAATGGACTATGAAAGTAAAATGCTAAACGCATGGCAAGTGACAGGTGATAAGTCAATATGGTAAATATTTGTGTAGGACATAGTTATGAAGTTGAAAGGTCATTATTCACGACTTAAAAAGCAATTCCTCGGTATAATAAAGCGCATGGCATGATTTTAATTGTATGAAAGTAATGGTCAACGGTGCATATCTGTCAATTGTATATATTATATCATAATAGTGTCAGCTGCACAAGAGATAGGTAGACATGATGATATTGGTTTCCATTATAAATTAATATTTTTTAAACCAAACGATCCAGATAATGATGTATTGATAAGGATGCATGCATAGTGATGATGATTTAAGGTACATTTTAAATATGTTTAACTTGTAACACATACATTACACAATAACATATTTTATTTTGTTGTCACTAATTGATAGTACTTCAGTTATTTGTGCAAAGCATACTTTAGAAAAACACCGGCTGTGTGTCTGTGTTGTTAGCTGACATATTTGGGATTTATAAGAACACCCAGTCCCAACCATCCTCACCAATAAAGTAAATACACAGAAGAAACACTCGAGCCAGACAGGAGTTTGTGTGTTTGTCAAATTTACACTGAAGATTTAGAGGGATACAAGGCTGAGAGAAGTGAGCAAAACGATTTTTCCTTTCCCACACTAAGAGTAGGAGAGTTAGAATTGAGAATAAATCCCAGAACTGCAAAGAGCCATGTTTGGAACAACCTGACCTTTTTTTTCTGTACAACTCAAACAAGGATAAAGACAACAAAACGTAATAACTTTCCCCTATCCAATCCATACTTCATGATTATCCCTCACTCCAAAACATTGGAAAAAATGGAACTGTCAAAAGAGTCTTGTTGTTCCATTTTCTTTCCCCTGGCCCCCCTCCTGGAGACAAACAAACAAACCCCTGTTAGCACATTTCATTAGCTTTAGGGGTTACAGAACAGATTGAGTATCGACAACGCTGGCTGTCGAGGCTTATGGCTCTAAGGGAACAGTAGAGGAAAATCTCAGGGGTAGGAGATGCAATCGAAAGGACCAAAATAATTCAGCAGGACTCACTCGAGGAACAATCCAGTTTGTCATGTGGAATCATGGAGTGTCTGCCGCACAATGAGGAAGGGTCCCCGGGGACTCGGCACAGGAGTCAACATGTGAATAGCCAAGAGTTAGAGCCCCGACTGGGCACTCTTGGCCTTTTTATCACCTGCAAATTTAGCAACCATAAATCTGTTTCCACACCAATGCTACTACACGGACGCACCGGAGAGGCCCATAAACAAGAAATGATGTTTGGTGTCTTGGGATGGTTTGGTCATTGATGTTCCCTGGGGTGTCATACTCGGCTCTGGGAACAATTACTGTCAGGGACTTTTGATGTTTTCCTTTTGTTGTGATGGACAGTTGAAGCTGCAGGAAATTGTTGGACCATGTTGATTTTCAAGGAAACAATTTAAAGGTCCCATGTCATGCTTTTTCGGTTATTACCCGTCCCCTTGTGTGTTATGAAGGTTTTTCTGCATGTAAACGGTCTGCAAAGTTACAAACCCTCAAAGTACACCCTGTAGCGAGTAAAACTCTAACACAGAAAAGACCTGTCTATGCTGCCCCAGAACGCCTCGTTGGAGATTTCTCTTTTTCCATTGTTTTCTTCTTGGGTACAGTGACGTGCCCATACCCAAATGGACCCATTGGTCCAAATGGACCAATCCGTGGAGCCGTTACGTTACGTCCACGGTGCCGTTACGTTACGTCCTCACACACACACACTCAATCTTTTCTCAGCTGCAGCGCCGCTGATTTCTCCTCCCTGAGACCGTGGGACGCGGCGAGGCTGTGAGTCTGTGTGTGAGCACACACACAAACTCACAGCCAGGCTGCGGGTGTGTGTGTGTGTGTGCTCGGGCTGGTTTCGGGCTGGGTTTCGCTGTGTCTCACTGTCTCGCAGACGGCCACTGGGCTCACAGGGAGGGGGGGGGGGGGGGGGGGGGGGGCAGGAGCTCCAACAAGTCGTTTAGGACAGAGAGTGAATACACATACTTTACAGAGATGCTGTATGAGAAACCAATGTGAGTTTGGAAAATTGCACAATATAAATCTATTTTAGTAGACCTCAACAATGGAATTATGATCAGTAGAAATGGCCATGACATGGACCTTTAAATGATTTCACTGGCTGTGCACAGTGGGCTCTGGTTAGTGGCGAGACACAATATGGTATGGACTTTTCCTTCCGCTGTAATGGGTTTTCAGGCGCCTGGTGACTGCTGGTAGACTCGAGGGTTAATGAGGGAGGAGGAGGAGACTGGGCCGTAAAAAGGACACTGACCACGGGCTTTAATGTGACCCGACTCTCCTTATCGTAACGTCTCTGTCGATAAAACGCAGCATGAGGAAAACCTCTGATTAATCGATTGACCTCCTGTTTCTTATTCACAGACGATAACGGGCATTGCACCTGCATTTGTTTCCACTGTAACACCTCCACGAGACAAGAGCTGAATATCCATTTCCCTTTAATCAATTCACAATTTATTCCCCTCCCTCTTCCAATCTCCCTTCCATTTATTATGCATTATTCGCCCTTTTTAAACGATTTTCTACTAACCGTCTCATCTAATTTGGTATTCGGATATGGTTAGCGCTGTTAGCTCAATTAAAACAATGACATGTCCTAAATGCATTCTCTCCACAATCCAAGTGACAAGAGGACAGAGAACACTTCAAGTCTTTGCAAACAGGGTCATGCATGCACACCAGGATTGATCCAAACCGTCAGGATTTATTATATAAAGCAATGTGAATAGATACAAAAGGAAGGACAAAGCAGGCTCAATCTTCTACAGGACTGTGCTTTATTTTAGTCTAAGCAGAATATAATGAACTAGAGAACTACAGAGTTCAGGAGCACTATGGGAGATATCACCCCGAATCAGGGACCCGAGCCAACGCTATTTCAAATTACATCTCTGTTTTAAACCAAAAAAAAACAGCTTGTTCAAGTCAAATAATAAAATAAATGCTTATTCAATTCATTGTGAATATAAATACCCAAACATATCGTGAATAATTTAATAGCATGAGAACATATGAATAGATGAAACTAGATAGTGAAGCTGGGAATGTAATGATTTATGATACAAATATACATGGTGCAAAGTCACCTACAACTCAATGTAAATTCTTTAAAGGCTCTCATTGAATGCTTGATTGGAGCAAACTGCTCAGTTAGCTGTTTACATTTTGGTCCTTGTAACCAATGGAAATGGAGGTGGGTGACCACATCCTAAATGTGTGTCAGAATGGGCTTGAGGCAAAACTGACTCTGGTGGAGTGTATGATGTCTTCACAACAGATTTCTTTTTAAGATAGTACATTTGGCATCCCCAGAATACAGTGTGTCTGACCACGGCTCACAGGTAGTACTGTCGGAGAGAACAGGCTGGGTTTAAGGCAGAATTCCCTCCTCGTATTAACAAGTCAACCTGACTGGAATAAAGCGATGTGGCGCTATCTACTGTTGGTACAATGTCTTCAGTGGATGGGATCACATCAGATAAACTGTGGAAAAAAACGTTTCTTTTGTAACAACAGAGAAGATGAAATGAACAGATATGTCAATGATTCCCGTCAACCCTTTGAAAAAAAGAAAATAACAATTACATTGTGACAGAGATAGACAAGATAAAAACATTACAGAAATGGCCTAAAGACAATGAGATATGACAGCGTCGGTCTCAAACCAATCTGACTGAAAAGTTTGATATTTTTTTGTCTTTTTTTGTCTTTTTTTGTCTCAAAACAACAAAAGGCCTCAAATGAGATTCTTTTTGAACATGCAATGCTGATTCATTTAAACCCAGTTGTGCATTGGACTCATTTTTCTGAATCCACATGACAGGTACCATCAATTATCCATTTTACAGTGCAGTTTGTTAATTCTTGTATTGATTTAAGAGCTTCCTGTGAGCAAAAAAGACCTCTTTGAACTTGCCCATCCGCGAGGGATTTCATACAGGGATTGTGCAGCCAAAAAAAATACAGAATAAAGAAAAAATGATCAAAGTATATCCGAATAAACCTCATGACAATGGGTCTATCCCAGCTTCAGCAGATAATAACAAAGCAGAAAAGAAAAAAAAGAACCAACATGAGTATAAAATCCCATTTTTGAACATCAGTGCTTCACTATACAAGAAATAACATCATTTCATCTTCAGTTTTGGATAAATTATTTCATAGGTTCCTTTTTCTTAGTTTCACTGAAATATATTAACTATTCTTTTTAATTTTTTTTTAAATGTTTGAACATGTTCTATTGTACGGCTTATAAAGAAGGTTCAACATAATTGAAAAATAAGCTATATTGTATGTACAGGAGAAACGCAGCTGTGTGGTCAGGAGAGCTGTGGCAGATTGGGTCGAGCTGGCAGGGGGTTCTGCTGGGTTCTACAACAAATGTTCTCTTGTTTCTCCCCTTCTTCCAATCGTGGCTTAACCACGTACATGTGGGTTCCACCGTGTGACTCGAAAATGAATTATGTACATGTTGAACAAACTTGGAGTTTACATTTTTGCAAAACTAACCTCCTTAAAAAGCCCAAACTTTCACTTCTAATGAATTTTAAAAAGTGTAGTCGTGATGGCTGATGCTTTTTGCATTTTTTTGTTTTTTTGCGGCGAGCATGCAGATGGATGAACTCTACTGTCACTGTCATATCTGTTCATCAGCCCCAAATGGACTAATCCAATTACCGCACAGGCGATCTTTCTTCCGTCAGAAAAATCATGACATGTCGGTGTACACAGAATTTTAATAAACGGATTACTTCGGGGCTGTGGCTTAGCTTTGACACTAAGTCAAACACTTCCTTAAGCCTTGGTCCGACGCTCAGGGTTGTAGGATGCTGTTCATGTTCAGAGCCCAAACTTAAGGGGCTTAAGGGAACTACAACTCTCCTAGATACCTGCACTGCTGTGGATACATTTTATAGTGACATCATTGTCCCACAGAGTTGGGATTCTCAACACCAGCTGCTATACAACCGTCCTCTGTTTTTGTATTTAATAGGCTATTTACATTAAGGAATACAAAAAGTCTTCATTACTGTCAGCCATGTTGTTGAATGTAATCCGACACCTTCAGCGTTTCACTGTGCGAAAAATGGCAGTTTTTTTTGTAGTTAGTTAGTTAGTCAGTTGGAATTGGATGGCGATACTATAAATGCAAAGGTGTTTCATCTGCCTTTCTGCTGGCTCACTTCTTATCTGTGATTCTGCCCGACCTCCCTCAGGATCATGGATAATGCAAGGCTCTGAACCTCTCCACTAATCATGACATCATAGCGCCTGATGCCCTGAGCATTGGGAGTGATTTTGTGGAGTGTCAGTTTAGCACAAAGCACCCCCGCCACCCAGTGCCTGTTTCAACCTCCACCCCTTTTCCATACTAAATCCCATTTCCACAGCAAAACCCTCTCCGCTGCAAAGTGAGTGAGATGACGGAAAAGCTCTCTCCCAAAGCAGCTATTAAATGAGAGGCGTTAATTTCTTCCCTCCTGTCCAACAGGTTCCTTTAATTATCTCTCCACTTTCAGTCAATTACATTTCACTTCCTTTCCTTGACAATCTCTGCTATTTTAGGGTGAGTGTTATGCACCCAGGGGGTTGGGGACTCGTAGACATGCTCCAGCAGTTCTCTACTCCGCCTGCCATTGGCTGGGGCCTTCTAAGGATACACGGTCCTCTAGAGTACTGACCTTATAAGCAGTGGTGTAGTGGCAGCTGAGGAAAAGGGTATATTATGTATAAACCCCCCAAATTCTCGTTTAATAATACAGGGTCAGAGTGGGCGCACGCATCAGTGGCAGTGAGCTCATACTGAGAGTGCTGGATATGTGCACACTAAATCACTGATTGCTAAATAAAGGCAGTATGAGAAGAGAAGAAAAGCTGCATGCTTCGGGGGTATGGACATAAAACTTGACATTGCTTTGTAGGATTTGCTTTGCATGTTTTACTCTCACAATAATTTGATTCATACTGATTCCTTTAGGTTAAAATGCCATGTTCTTTTTTATCTTTTTAAATTAGAGGACATATACAATATCCCTTTTGGCAACAGCTTAGTGACTGCCTTCTGGGTTTATCATTGCTCTTAGAGGTGAAACATGGCCTGGATTTATAACAAGAGTAGACAGACAGGGTAACGGGGCAGGCGGAGACTACTTCCTTTTCATGTTTTGGTAGTTTCCGAGCAGGTTTCTCAGCTATTTCTGTTTTGAATGCACGTCACCTCAGTAACACCCTCCCCTGAGCGTATAAGTTATAACAGCAACCATTGTTAAAAGTGTTGAAATTCTGATTTCACAAAGCCTAATTTAGCCCTGGCATAGCATTGATGCTACATGAACACTGCACTGTTAGCCAAGCAGACAGCAGGATACCAGGCTAGGTTTTTTGTTGGCTCACTGGGGACTCAACCTGCCATTAGCAGAGGGAACTCACACAGCATCAGATATAAGACAGAGAGGAGATCAGCGGAGCAGGCATGCAGGGTTCATGTTCAGCCTGACAGAGCCTCACTCGCAGAATGTATTCTAAAGATGGCAGAGACAAGCACAGGAAATGTCATTGCTCATGCAACATTAGATTTCCCATCGATTAGTTCAGCTTCACATGAATAATGAGCACAAATCGGTTTGCAGAACATGGCTTTGTTTTGACCCACTTCACTCAACGACAAATCATGTAGCTTACTGCATTTCCACTATAGCTTCCAACTAATGGCTGAATGGGAGGGCTACCCTACTTTTTATTTGAATACCATTTTTAAAAAGCTGTGTTTTAATGGCCACAAATGTTAAACTAAAGAAGTACTGGGCTTCTAAAATATTCGTTCAGGTGCTTTGTAGGTGTCCCAGCAGGGATACACACAAGAGAAATAAATAATTGTATTTGCGAGTATTTATAAAACAATTACATTTTGTGAAATAAAAAGAGATGAAGATACTTCTTAAGAATTGCAGATTTTCCTCTAAATTGTTGGTTTTGACCCAATTTGAATGTTTGAAGAATATGGTTGTATCGTCCAGCTTTCTCTTTTAGTTTTGCTAATCTCCTTTTTAAACACCTTGCTATGATATGGAAGGTTTTATCCCACGTCTTCCTTTGCCGCTTTGAGTACATTTCGCAGTGTTATTGGTGCCAGGTCAGCTGTCAGCAGCCTTGCCAGGGAGAAGGCACAAACATAATTCTCTCTAATCTTCCTTCTGTCATCCACGTGTATGCAGGGGACCATCTCTCCCGTCATTTGGTCCAAGTGATTATCCCGGTGATTTTTCACTTGGTTGCTGCTAATGTATAGAGGCTGGTGATTACAGTGTGATTAGAGGGAAAGGTGAAATAGCATGTCTAATACGGTGCAGGAGATAATTGAAGGGTAGTGAGCGCAGACATTAGCCAGGTTTGAAAACGCTGTTCCAAGGGGAGAGGGCTGCTGAACAGTTGCACCGAGGTTTTAGAAAGGCATGGCTGCTCTTAGGACAGGAGAAAGAGAGGGGGCTATATGGCACGTTGATATCAAATTAAAACCTTCCGCTTATGTAAATCTCCAAGAATAGCGGTGCATTTAGCTATTGGCTGGCACATGTTTCAGTCCCTCCTTCAGTGATTTTTAATATTTCTGATCTGCTTCTCTCTGAGCAAAGCTAGCGGTAAAAAGGATGGAATGGCAAGGAGGAGAGTCTCAGTAGTAAATAGGAATTGGTTGGATTTGAGCCTAATTTGTTAACGTTTTAACCCTGTTTTTCAAAAGCACATGTAGTGTTTGCCACCAGGAGCTTGTTTACAGCTTCTACATTTCCAGATTAAGTCATTGGTCTTTATCCTAGAAGCATATGTCTGAAAGATCCTGATGTCATGTTTGGTTGTTGACTTCCTCTCTTCCCCTCCTTCCCTCCTTGCCTAGCCATGCCTCTTACCGCCAGCTGCCACTGCTCAAAGGGCTGGTGTACGGATGTGAGCTGGTGAGAAAATTGGGAAGTGTTGAGAGTGACTGAAGCAGCATCGCTCCTCCCTCTAGACTCATGCCAAACATATTGATCTGCTTTTTAGAGAAGAGCCTGCATCCAGAGCTCTAAGACAGTCAAAATGAAGGCTTTAAATCAGGACATGACAGAAGTGGAGTGCTTTTCTCTGTCCTGCCTGGCGTCGGTGTCAGAGAGGCTACAAGCGAGCTGAATAATGGAGTTTAAATATTGTCTGTTTAAGCGTTGGCTCTTTGTATAATACATGAAGAAAAGCAGGGCGGGGAACATGTTAATAGAGGAATTTACATTATATTTGACAGAGCAAAATTAGCTCTAAAAGCCTGCACTTCCTTGCCGTTGATACCGTAAATAGAGTTTGTCTTCAGGGAGTGTTTCTCTGCAAGGAGACAGGAGGTGAAATGTATCCGGGTTTTGCAGCTGATCCAGTGGACACATAGTGTATATCCTTGGCCTGTCAGTTATTGTCCTGCTTGTTTACACCAGGCATACTTAGTTTTTTCTGACAGATTTCCTAAGGGCCATTTCATTTGTATACTGAGTTCATTCTGCTGGCAGTTTCAGTAGCTGTCACCTTCTGTTGCCCTCATGACCGTCCATTTGTCCATCTCTCTAAGTAGAACCATTACCCCTTAACAACTTGTGGCTTCATAATTCACACTCCTTGTTGCAATACAAAAGGTCAAGAAAAAAAAGAAAAACACACCCCATGTCCATTTGCTTGGTCTTTACAGTGGATTGTCGCTTGAACACAAAGGCCAGTGAGAAGCCTTAGACGTCTGCACCCTGTCCAGCACAGACATGAGTTAGTTCTGTCTTCTTTTTTTTTACACTCTCAGCATTCTTTTTTTTCTTCCAGAACAGTCTGTTCGTAGCTGTCAGAGAGTGCGGTGACTTAAACATCATGATGAGCGAGATATCCAGTGGCTGATACCTTAACATCCAAGAGAAAGAGACTCGTTGCGTACAGGGGCGGATGAATGTTTTCCATTTTCCTTCACTTTTGCCCACTTTTCATTACGACTTCAAGTATTTTTTTTAAACAACAGCAAAAGTTAGCAAATCTACATTGTTTTTCTAATCTACTTTACTATACTACAACCTGGTGCTAAATCAGCATCCAGAGCAAAAGATCATCCCCTATACTACGATGCCATTTCTTTTTTTATACATTATTTCCATTTTCTTTTATTCATACTTACAGTAGGCCACTGGATATTGATTTAATGATTTTTTTGACTACGAGTAAATTGTAATACTTGCAGCTACAAGGTATGAGTTTTTAAATATATATTTATATATTTATATATTTATATTCTTTTAAAAAGCGTTTAGTCCTTTGGTCCCTATTTCCTAAGGAATGATGCATGTAAATTATCCTGGATTCTCCTCTCCCTCCTCTCCCTCTTCTTCTCCCTCTTCTTCTCCCTCTTCTTCTCCCTCTTCTTCTTCTTCTTCTTTGATCCAGAGCTCGCCCTGTCACAGAGCACAACACCTGTGTAGGCACAAAAACCAAAATGGCAGCAGGCTGGTGTGTGTGTTTGTGTGTTTTTGCACGTGTTTGCGTCAGTACTTGAGTTGGCATTTGCACGTATTTATACATGTACAAAGTTTTTCGTTTTTTTCATTTTTCATTGTTTTTTAAGTGTAGTATCTTTAAATGTGTATGTCTTGTGTGTTATGTGTGTTTATCTATATCCTGTGTCAGTATGCATGCTTTGAGCATAATGAGTCTATAAAGGTTTTTTCCCCCCATCATGTCTAAAAAACAGCAGCAAAAAGTTGGTCTCTGCAAAAAATCTTCTTCCACAGACGCCAAAGCAAAACAGGGAAAAAAGAGGCATTTGCGAAGAAAGAAAAAAGAAAAGAAAACAACAACAACTCTGGGATCCTTTTTCTCAGTCACCCAATCTTTCAGCGGGTTTTCAGCAGGATCAAGGGACCACCCTTCCTTCATGATATGTAGCAGAGCAAGAAGTCTTTGTACTTTTACTGCACTTGTGGAAATAAGGTGTTGTGGCCCTTCATCCTGTGACACAGAGACAGAGCGAGAGGTAGGTTGAAAGAGAGGGGAGAATAAGGAGAGTGGATTTAGTGAGGCTGCGGCAAACATGCTCGGGGTTGCTGCTCCTGGTTATCACACAGACTGACAGGCACAGCCAACAGCATGAGAAACAGACGGGGAGGAGAAGGAAAAAAAAAGAGGACTGTGTCAATCAAAAAACCAGAAATAAGTGGGCTAGAGGTGGGGTGGGAGATTTGTGTTTTAACCATATGGAACAGACATCTACACTGTGACAGCACTAATCCAAGGGAGGCCTAATTTAAACCGACTACATCTCCCTGCATGAAAAGAAACACAGCCGAGTGTTGCCCGAGATGTTGCTGTCATTCATCTTGTTGTTAATTCATTACAAACAAACTACCAAAAGAACACGAAGAAAACATAAAGAAAACAAGACAGTGCGAGTGATGAAATAGTGTAATGATTATGACAGAAAAACTCATGGTTGTACCATATAAAAAGAAAAATTGAAATTGCCTGTAATGAGGATGCCATGGAAATCCAACCTAGCATCCCCAGCCTTTGTGTCGACTGTCACTATAAGTGTCCGTGCTGCAGACCTTTGGATACAAAAGATCTAGTTTACAGCCTATCATCCCTAATATGTTGTGAGCTATGATGCAGGTGAAGAAAGGCTATGAAATCACAGCAAATCACTCTCCGGGAGCGAACATGAAAGGGACTGACTTTGTGATGGGAACACGCGCGCCCAGACGCTCTTTGTTCTACCGCTCCATTTCTGTAAATGAGCTTGTTACAGTTTCATAATAGATCTGCTTTTAAGATGTGAGAGCGGAGATTCTAGCTTATTTCTTATGTGTGCCAAAGCGAGCCCCGGCCATTAGCAGCATAAAGCACTAACCGTCACAATTACAGATGCCCTCTTTTATAAGCCACTGGCGCTATATTCATCTACCACAGAGAAGAAGAAACCTTTTCTTTCTCCCCGAAGTAAACAGCCTCTTGGAAAACCTCCTAAGTATTTCACCCTCCAACTTCGTCAGATAATAAAGAATTCAGTTCCTTTTTTTCACAAGCTTTTTGTCACAGCCCTCCTGCCAAACAGCCACCTACTTAGATGGCTCCATAAAAGGCACCTTGCAGTTAAGAGGCATAGTTGATGCCAGAAAGACCTTATCCCTCCCGTTTTCTCCAGCTAGACACCCCTCCTGTGTTCATTGGATAGACTACGGGAGGGAGAGTCGCCTGCAGGGCTTCTGAAAGAATAGGGCCGTACGAGTTCGATGAAAACGACTATCAGGGTTTGGCCTGGAGGGATGGAAACAAACTCACTTGCTAAGAAAGGAGCTTTTCACTGTGAAGCTGTTTGCTGCCTTGTCTTTTTTACAGACAATTATCTCAGATACAAGCCAGTAAAACATAAGCGCTAATTTATCTGGTGGCATAATCCTTCTCAAAGCAACAGCAAATACTCATCATTTTGCTCTTACTTATACGTCTGTGTGTACAGTACGCTGGACATATTTTGGCCATGTGGGTCTGCAGTGCTGCCTGCAGCTCTGCTATCACGGCGTAATTGGTTTGCACCCTCATAAATAAATACATGGGAAGCGATTCTCATGTTAGGCAAACAAAACAATCTTGCAGAAGTACTCCCTGTGCAGATGGAATCCACGGAGAAGTGGAGTGTCAACATTTGCCGTTGCTCTCTGCATGAACGCTGGAGATTTAATTGGCTACACAAACATAGGGTCACCCTGGCCATCTCTCAACTAAACAGCTGTCGATCGGGGCGAGAAGATTGTCCTTTGTGAAAAGATTCAGACTTTTAATAAAAACAACAAAAAAACAAGTTTGCTGGAGAAAAAACACGGTTGACGTGAATGTGAAGAAATAGAGAAATAGAAAATACAGTACATCCATACACATGGACCCCACAAGAGAAAAGTAAAACATCACAAGGGCACACGGTACAATAGCACAAAGGGTTAAAGGCCACTTCCAGTTATAATCAACCAACCATTTAGCACGTCAGTTACATTAAGTACAACAGCCAAGAAAGGCATCGTTTTACTGCACTCCACAAACTGCCAATATACAAAATACAGTATATATATATTTATATATATTTAAAACGGAGGGCAGAAGAGATAGAGTTTAGAGATATCAATCAACGCCACGTCATGCAACGCAGTCACAGTCCCACCACATGACGTCATCCAAAAGAAAATGACACCATGGGTTCAACTTACAGCTGTGGGAACTTGGCCCCATGACAGGTGTGGGTGGGAGGTGGCTATAGCGGAGAAAGGCCACCTCACACTGTGATTGGTTGGTCAGGTTGCCAGGTTGGTGGGGGTGCAAAAGAAGGAAAGAAACAGTGGGATTTTCTCTTCCTTAAAGTCAGAATTCAAAGCACCCTTTCCACACGTATTCCACACTCTCACTTATTCTGCCTGATAAATCAAATGAGGTTATTATGGTCATTACCATAAAAACTGAAATTGACATGTAAAACAGAAATAACAGAACACATAATCTTCAACAGAAAAAAGGGTATTTTTGTGCGTTGTGAAGTTTTCTCAGGCTGACAACATTTGCAGGTTAAAAGGTTGAATAGATGTTTTTATATTCACAAAGATAACCCTTAAGGCAGGAATGCATATTTCAGAAACTTGTCCTGTCTACAGTAATTGGATTTGCCTTGCATTGTTTGCCATGAGGGTGGCCGTACAGTGAGGGCTTCGGATTTTTTTTTGCATTAAGTTTATCTTTAAGACACAGAACGCAATTTCAGAGTAGCAGGGCTCCTGAGACCAGCAGGAGAGAATGCTGTCTGATCGTGTTTTTAATTCAACTTCAAAGCGAATCGTCAGTATTGGAGAGAAGAAATGGGGGCTTCTGAACTTATCTACATATTGAAGTTTTATACCTAAGGAACACAAAAAAAATCATCATCAAAGTTTTTCATCATCATAATGCAGTTCATTCTAGAAAATTAAACAGTTACAGTTGAACTTATTTCAGTCTTTTGCTCAAAAACTCAATGTACCGTCTTCCACAATAATAGGCAATTTGTAAGAAAAATATTCCTAAAAGTAGATTGGTTCAATTTGTCATATCCAACTTCTTTATGTTCGATCCCTCATGGTTTTTTAAGAATCTATAAACCAGGAGCTGGCTTCAGGAGCACCGCTGGGGTATTTTTTCTTTAATGTTTTCATGTGATTGCTCTTGGATTTGGTCTATTGCTTTTCCTTAACTCAAACAATAGAAGTGGTGTAATAACAGAAGAAATAAACACACAGATGAATTGTACCAGACCAGAGACGAAGGAGGACATGAAAACACACACACACACACACACACACTCATACACCGACAAGCACACACACACACACACACTTCCTGATATAGTGACAGAACATTATTGTTGGAAATGTCTGTACTCGGCGACATTCAGAGTACATCTCAATGACTGCCCTGTCATTCAGCGCTGTAGCAGGATATTTTCCATTTGTTCCCCATTGATGTGCTAAATTCAAATCCACCCCCCCCCCCCCCCCTCCTCTCTTCTCAGGGTGCTTTGAAAGCTTCTCCTCAATTAGCAGGACACGACTCCATTCAAACGCTATCAAGCAAGAGATAAAGGAGGCATCTATCATTTGTATTGCACACCACCTTCCATGAATGCCATCTTGTGGCTTTTAAGGAGTCACATCTAAAACAAACAAACGGTATTACCATGCTTTTATTTATGGAGGAATATAATCCAGGCGTATGTTATTGTAATGAAAAGTTGTCTGGCCAATTGAGCGGAGAGAGGAAGCATCTATATTATTTTGCACTGGCAGCTGCACTTTGTAACAGATGGGGGATGATTCTTTTGAATCAAGCCTGACACTGTGAAATAAGTCTTTATTGAAGGATGGTGCCACTTTAAAGTGAAGCTTTCTTTTTATTATTTTGTAGGAAAGCTTTGACTTTGTAAAGGTCCAAATGAGGAACTGTTAGGCATTGAATATACCTGGTTTTAAGAGCTATTGTTTGTTATTCTTTGTTAGTGGATACTTGTAAAAAAAAAGCAGATACATGTTGGCATAATTCAGCTATTTTGTCACAATAAACTGGATTTAAGTATATTATAATTGAAATTGTTGAGTTGTATTAAATTAACAATGTTGCTGTGAATGCTTAAATACTGGCAAAGTGAGTTTGAACTTCAACAATCCTTTTGAACACTTTTTCCTGAGCAAAACAACACATTAGCATTGAATTAGGCGTTAGAAATAGAATGTGTTTCTGTCTAGTTTATTTGTATTTATTTATTTGTAAAATCATTAACAGTAACCCTAACGTTGCAATTAAAATGAGATATGAGAAAATACTGTTAATTGGATAACTAAATGAAAATTGATTGATAAACGATGTCACAGTTCACGATGAGATACACAACATTTAAAAGTGAACTGTGACACTTTCATTTAAAGCAGAGTTTAGTGAAGTATTACTTGAACTAACCAAATAGTGCTCACTGTGTATACAAGTACATTAAACATATTTTGTTTTTTTGTGTGTAGGAACCACTCATCATGCTCATTAGTAGTTCTGTAAAAGGTTGTTATACTTTAAATATACTATCGTTGTGCGGCTCCCTGATGAAAGCTCCCATAAGTAAAGATTTAACTGACAACACCTTTAGATTTTGCTAAGAAGATGACAGAAATCTGATTAAAGCTATCATAGGAGTGAACAAACTGCTAACTTGTAGCTCAACTTGCATCGATTCTCATCACCACCCTCAGTGGATGGGTAATTATGCACAGCTTCTCCTGCAGGTAAACATTTATTTTCAAAAATCAGAAGAAACAAACACATTAAGTGGAGCCTAAGTGAAGAGGGCCTGTGCCTTCTTCAAACTCTTAAGCTTCCCCGGCTAATATCCTAAAAAAAACGTTGACCTAAAAATATATAAAAATGTCTTCTCGTATTACGGCTCCTTGTGACAAAGTCAGATTATGACTACCACATTTGGATTTGAACTGCTTCCCTATTTGACCACATTTAACATTTAACTGGATAATTCATGCGTTTTGTTGTTTCATTAGTCTGTCATAATAGTTTATGTACATTTCCACAATGAGTATTGTTTTTACTAACGGGTTGTGATGGGGGTTTCTACTGTTCGTAAGACTGGAGGATTCTTGTAGGTTTATTTTTGCTTTGCCCTGGATGTACAGTTGCAGTCCAAACAACCAGAACAAGTTGCCGATTACTTGATTTAAAATTAATTTCATGTTAAAAATTCGATTTTATTTTGTTATATAATTGATGGATACACATATGTTAAAGTAAAGATCATGCATACAGTAGATTTGAATTCTAAATAATTCTCGCATAATAATTAGATCCAGATTTCAGCCAATACTCGAAGTAAATAGGACAGTTTGAGAACAGGCATGGCATGGCACTGTATTATGACATGGCATAGTATCATAACATGGCATAGTATTATGGTATGGCAGTGTATTATGACATGGCAGAGTATCATGGCATGGCATAGTATTATGGCATGGCATAGTATCATGGCATGGCATAGTATTATGGCATGGCATAGTATCATGGCATGGCATAGTATCATGGCATGGCATAGTATTATGGCATGGCATAGTATCATGGCATGGCATAGTATCATGGCATGGCATAGTATTATGGCATGGCACTGTATTATGGTATGGCACAGTATCATGGCATGGCATAGTATCATGGCATGGCATAGTATTATGGCATGGCATAGTATCATGGCATGGCATAGTATCATGGCATGGCATAGTATCATGGCATGGCATAGTATTATGGAATGGCACTGTATTATGACATGGCATAGTATCATGGCATGGCATAGTATTATGGTATGGCATAGTATCATGGCATGGCATAGTATTATGGTATGGCATAGTATTATGGTATGGCACTGTATTATGACATGGCATAGTATTATGGTATGGCACTGTATTATGACATGGCATAGTATCATGGCATGGCATAGTATTATGGTATGGCACTGTATTATGACATGGCATAGTATTATGGTATGGCACTGTATTATGACATGGCATAGTATCATGGCATGGCATAGTATTATGGTATGGCATAGTATCATGGCATGGCATAGTATTATGGTATGGCACTGTATTATGACATGGCATAGTATCATGGCATGGCATAGTATTATGGTATGGCACTGTATTATGACATGGCATAGTATTATGGTATGGCACTGTATTATGACATGGCATAGTATCATGGCATGGCATAGTATTATGGTATGGCATAGTATTATGGTATGGCACTGTATTATGGTATGGCATAGTATTATGGTATGGCACTGTATTATGGTATGGCATAGTATTATGGTATGGCACTGTGTTATGGTATGGGTGTTACTGTACCTGGGTATGGACAGCAGACGAGTCAGTAAGGTCGGTTGGCATCCTTTGGCCGCTTTAGCTGCACCTTCAGCCTCTTCATGCCTATCTGAAAGCCGTTCATGGCCTGGATGGCGGCTTGAGCACTGGACGGGTTATCAAAACTCACAAAGCCTGAGACGAGAACAGAGAGCGGGAGGAGAGTGGTCGGAGAGAAAAATTGGAAAAAAAGGAAACAACACAGAGAAGAATGGGTGAGAGATGAGCGAGGACCACGAGAAAGGGAGCGGGGAAGAGATAGGCGAGATGAAAGAGAGAGAGGGGAGAAAAAGAGAGCCTTTTTAACTCTCAACAATGACACAACAATAGCTCTTTGTTTTCTCTTTTCAGTGGATTAATTGAAAATCTTCGAATTAAAAAGATTACATAAAATACCACAAAGGCTAATAACACAGATATTAAAAATCAAACGGAGAGGAGTTATTAGAAACTTGAACAGAGAACAAAAAAAACATGAAAAGGTGTTAAAAGATTAGACGGGGGGGGGGGGAAGCAAAAGAGTCATGTTGTGTGTGTGTGGATTTTTTTTTAGAACAAACTCTGTGAACGTTACCTGAGTTGTTTGAGTGGCAGGGCTGCGTGTGTGTGTGTGTGTGTGTTTCATGTACGTGTGTGTGACTGAGCGTGTATCTGAGTAAAGAGTAAAGGGCACGGGGGTCGTGACGAGATGCTCGGAGCAAGGTGTGTAGGACGGGGGTGCCTGCTGCTCTGAGTTATCGCCTGGGTGTCGAGGCGGAATGAGCCCACAGCTTTCCACGCCGGGACTCCTTGCCTGCTCTTATCAGACACCTCGGTGATTGACGGCCCGGATTTTCCGCCTGCCAGCTGATTTGATCACACCGCTATGGGTCCAATTTAATTTGGGGGGAGAGGGCAGGCTTTTGTCAGTGCGGGTGAGATAAGGCTGCTGCTTTTACAAACCCTTTAAACAAACTGAGCTGGGAAGGGCCTGTCAGTTGGCAGTGATCCCCCTCCCAATCCCACAAACACACACACACACACACACACAGACACATACACAGACACACACTATCCCTGGCTTTAACGGATCTCCATACCTCACATTAACATCCACATGCCAAAAAAGACGATAGGATGCTGGGGGTCAAAGTACTGACAGTGAGGACACAGATGTGTTTGAAATGCATGGACATTCGAATAATCTTAAAGTAGGATTAAATATTTGAACATGTTTTCGAGCTTTGGCTGTTTTTCTCGAGACAAAGTAACCGGCTGAGGTTTCATATCTTTGATGCAACTCTGAGTGTGTGTGGTTCTGTGCAGCTCAAAGCCCCGAACGGTACTAATGTTTGATGTACGGCTCTCACGGCAGCCATCCATATTAGCAGAATGTCTGTACGTGTTGTGATGTTGTGCATTTTTTATAAAAACAAGACTGCAACAAACAGGGTGACAATAGGGAAACTCAAGTCGAGGACCAGGTGGAGAATGCTGCAGTTCATAAGTCTCACATTGCCACAGAAAGAATAGTTAATATGTCTGTGCAGTGATGGTGTTTTATGAACACTTTTTCTACTATTTCAGAGGTCTGCAGGTGAGGTCCAGGTTCAGATACTCTCTCAGGCTTGTGAAATTGTCCCTCGATCTGTATCAACTATCACTGAACTCCCTGTAAACATGATAGTGAATTTGCTGCTTATTTTTCAAAATGTGCACCTCAAACTTCACAGTTTAGTAGCCTAAATGTTCATGCATGTATTAATTGTGATAATTATTTTCACTTGAAAGTGTTGATTGGAGATTTGCTTGTTCGTTTATATGGTTTTATTTCTTTTCAAAGTCTTTTCAAAGATGTAAGGGTTGCTCAGTATGTATGAGTGTTGGTGAAACATGAAACACACACATGCAACTTCAAAGTGAGAAACAAAAAAGGAGCTTTACAACTTCAATAAAATATAGCTTTACTGTAGGTACATTGCAACTCCTCTTTTCTCTCTTCTAAAAAGCACTGTGTATATAATGTAAAGGCCGTGTGTGTGCGTGAGAGAGAGTGTGTCATTCCATTCTCAGAAGACCTTTTGAAATTCATTTTCAAGCTAAATCCAGCTAATTCCACCTAACAAGGTACGCTTTGATCACTTTTAGAAGTCAATATTGAGTGACTGAACGCAGAGGATTAAGACTAATGTTACATCCATAGAGACCCAGGTTAGATAAAACACAGCAGCTCCTCTACTGTGAATATCAATGGGATGCACACGTCTGCCTTTTGGATGTTCTTTACATTGTGGTGACTCATTAAAGCACCGGTAACTAGCCAGTTATTTGTACTTTTTGCCACTCTTGCTTTTTGTCGTCTTATTTTCTATTTTATTGCCTGGAGAGGAATATGTTTCCCAAGGCTTTCCTTCATCTCACCTGCACATATCCATGTAATCACTAAGCAAATAAAGATACTGAAGGAAACAGACATCTGTCTGAATTGACAGTGATGCATCCCTTAAGAGTACATTTCAAATCCTACTCCAGAAATAAATCCTTTATAAGAACATGTTTCTAGTGCTCCTCCAGTGACCTTTTTATCATATGCACATTTCAGAGCTCTTCTGTAAACACTGTGTAAAAGAGTGATGTTTGGTTATCTCCTGTCTAAATCCCAAAATGTAGATTACTGCAGAGAAATCAGGCCGTGTGCAGACAGTAGATTTCTCTGTTGAAACTCACAAGTCATTCTGCAGTGGCAAGCGATTTTTTCAAAGCTATTTAATTAATAATATTACAAACTTGTTAACCTTAAAGGTGGGGTATGTAATTTTGGAGAAACCAGCTCGAGTGCGCTAGAATTTGAAAATACACAACTGGAAAAAATCTGCCACTTCCTTACAGAGCCCCTCCTCCAACACACACGAACGCGCATATGACCAATGAGGGCACGAGATAAGTTTGTGCACAGATGGAAGGCTGACAGGCAGGTAGGCCATCCAGTTATTTTAGCCGGGCCGGCTCAGATGATTGGTCGTGCTTTTTACAGCGCCACGGCTTCCACAGATTAATTTTTTTTATGTATTTATTGTCAAAGCATTTAATGTATTCATTGCTATCGGGATGTTAAGAGCATTCCATGGAATATAACAAAAAGTGTTTCTGAAATAAATTACATACCCCACCTTTAATTACATTAAGAAATTAGAAATATGCTGCTTATTGAAATATAGATTCTACATCAACACACTTGATTTTATTAGGAAAAGAAAAAAAAGGTTGTGTTGTGCTTTTTAAAATAAATTAAAATATCTTAATACTGACTCAGGCCGGTTTCTTTGTTATATGGGAATACTTATAGGTATAAATAATGAACTGTCTTTATCTTTTCATGTCGTCCTTTTTACATACACTGCTTTGAAAATGGTTTCCTCAACTATCAGGAAGGTCATTTTCTTTCAATTAGTGTGTCGAGTGTGCACGAGGCCACGTGTGTACATGTTAACCATTGACAATGAATCAATCTTTTATTTCTACATCTATAAATAGTTACTCTTCCAGTTGATCTACATGTACGGTAGTCTCCAGTGCCCATTAACCACATCATCAAGGCTAAACACACATTTTTAAGATGAAGTGTTCCAAGTTCTTAGAGGCCTAATAACTTATCCCCCTTAATGCACAGCCTCTTCGGCTGCCTAATTTGTTAATGTCTTACAAAGGAGCCCCGGGGCTTCTGCTATAAAAAGGAGGGAGAAATGACTGAATAAAAAAACCTCACCTCACAAAAGAATCATGGGTTAAATTGCTGTTTTTCAGCCAAGATCTTAATTACAAGCCGTTGAAAATAAGCCGGTGAGACTGATGAGGTCAACGCCCCTTTGTCCTTCCCCCTTGGTGACTGACGGATAGTGATAGCGGGAGGCATATGTTTAGAGGAGAGCACACAATGGGAGGCAGAGAGTCCTGAGATGGACAGAAGAAGACAGACGGGGGGGAAGAGAGAGGAAGAGAAAGCCTCATAGACATGCCATGTTGAAGAGAAAGTGAAAGAAAGCCAATGCTGGGAGTCTCTCTCTCTCTCTGCCTGTCCCCTGGGTGCTGCTGTCCAACTGAATCAACAGTAAGGCCCCACACCAGTCTATTATTATCTCTTTAAGCCCGTGGATTCCACCTGCACCGCCTCCACCCTGATGAACTGGTTTTCTGTGTGGGAGGTGAGAGAAAAAGAGGGGAGGGATGGCATGATGTGGCTAGGTGGCCCGGCTGGAGGCCTGAAGTGTGTGTGTGTGTGGGGGGGGGGGGTCTGTTTTTTCTCTTGGGTAAAGGAGTCTGGGAATGGCAGAGAAGTGGAGATGGATCCTGATTGTGTTAGGAATGGTGAGATAGAGAGGCTGAGGAATTGATGTTTCGAGCAAATGCCACTATTTGGAAAGGTGTCTGGGTCAGTGGCGTCATCTGGGATTCATGGTGGTTTGGCTTGGGTTATTTCAGGCAGAGGTTGAATGTAGTGAAGTATATTAACTCAGAAACCGAACTTAAGTACATTTTTAGGTACTCTGGTACTTTTTGAGATAGGTATATTTTCATTGTATACTTTAACTGCACTACATTTCAGAAGCCAATATATGTGTATCACTTATCTGACAGCATTAGTTACTTTACAAATACAGATTATTAGCAAAAGCAACATATAAACCACTTGTAAATATACATATTCAAATAAAAACAGGTTAACATATCCAGCAGTATATAAAGTCATTCAAATGAGGTCTTTTACCAGCTGTGATGAAAACATTAATGCATCAAAAATCATAATGCAATCATTGAGTATATGTGAAATATGATGGGCCATTTTGTATTACAAGTACTCTTTTGGTTCGTTAGGTATATTTTAAGTAAGATTTTGTATGCAGGACTTTTACTTTTAACAGAGTATTTAAAAAATGTGGTTAATGTACAACTTTAGTAAAAGACAGTACTTCTTTCATCACTGATTTAAGGCAATTCGAGCATCCATCACAACACACTCTTATTTTTTCATTATCGAGCTAAACCAAATTGTCCGTGTGTGTCCATTTCTGACTTACCAAAACATTTGCTCTGATTGGTCGCTCGGTCCACAAACACTTTGGCGGAGATGACGTTGCCAAAAGGCAGGAACATTTGCATGAGCTCCGCATCTCCGAACTCCTGGGGCAGGTGATAAATAAACAGGTTGCAACCTTCTGGCCCTGGTGATGAGAGGAAAACAACAGGAGGGCATAAACAGAAGGAGAGGCTGACCATAATAACAATAACACAGGTGGAAGAATGACTCGATAAAGCAATCAAGAGAATAATCTAAGGAACGCAGGAGCCATGTAAACACCAAATTGATATTATGTTCTCCGTGGCACAAGCATTAGTTGTGGGAAAGCTAGTTATTGTGGAGTACACACTCTTAAGTCCTGTTTCTAAAGTGTTATAAGGTCACTCTCAGCGTTGGTCAGCTCATTTAAATCCGATTACCCCGATCCAAACTACTGCATGTACTGTAGGAGGCCCTTTAAAGGATAATTTTATACAATTAAATGTGCCTATTGAATCAGAAAATGTGCCGGCAATTGCAGTGCACAGTGGCAGAGATATAAGTAAAAGCGAAATACAAAACAGGATAAAAAACACAGAGTTTGATTGGAGGAGAAATATTAAGATGGTTATATTGGGACACTGAGTCACAGAGGAAGAGAGGAGGAGGCAGAGCATAAGCCAAGTTTGTGTCCCAATTACTCCGTGACAGTAGGACTGTCTTCCAATCTCTCGCTCTCCATCCCTCCACACTCCTCCACCCAGCTGCCACATATTGTACAGGTTCAATCTGGATAAAGGGAGGAATGAACTGGAAGGAAAGAGAGCGAACCATGGCCCGAGAAAAAGCGAGAGAGAGATGGGATGGACTCGGGGACAGTGTGCTTGCAGCTGGCTGCCTGGCTAGCATTCTCTCCTGTCTCATTGCTCAGGGTGATAGCATGACGAGATGAGACTGGGGCTGGTGAGAAGGCTGATAAGAGAGCTGCACTGGTGGCTGGCTGTACTGATGCTCTGCCGCTGCGAGATAGAGGACACACACACACACACACACACACACACACACACACACACACACACACACACACACACACACACACACACACACACACACACACACACACACACACACACACACACACACACACACACACACAGGTTGACGGAGTGTGGATTTGTATTTTTTCAAACATTTAAAATCTGAATCTCGGTTCTGTCTGTTTAGCTTTAGGGGACTTAGAGTACTTACTTTAAAAAAGAAGTGGTTTGTTTGAGGTTTCCCAAATAGAGTGTGAGGACAGTTGAGAAGTTTACTTTTCACAAGTATAAAATGTCTTGATGAGTGCATGGAAACTGTCTTCCTTTTCCATGTATGCAAATCTGCTATGTAGAGGAAATATGACTTGTATTGTATCCATTATTATGCCCACAGTGGGAAAGTGCGAGGATGCAAAGTAGATAATTACCTTGTGATTGCGTGTTAATATACTGAACTGCAGTTGTTATTGTATATGACTTCAATGCACTGTTTAGGATGATAAATAAATTGGTTGATTCACATATGCATAATTTATCAATATTTATTTTGAGAGGCCAAATCCAATAATTTTACACATCAAAGTCTGTTTACAGGTCCTGTGAAGTGCTACTGCACATCAGAAAAAAAGTTGTATAAAGCCTTTTGTGGCTCCAGAGGGAGTTGCACAAAGTCTGATAAACTGCCTCAAGTGATGTCACTTGAAATAGCTTCAGTTGAGAGTTAAGATACAGCTTTTAAAATATATGTAGAAAGAAAAATGTGACTTTACAAGACCGCTGTAGTCTGCTCCTAATCCCGGTTTGAGGCCATGAGGCTCCATTACACGCAATAACGCACAACACGACCATATATTGGACTGAACTGTAAGTTGCATTGTGGGTAATGTGGGCTGCATGTATCTATCTCTCCGTGCATCGATTATTTTCTCTAAAATGATTCTGGTTATGTAATTACTGTCAACCGTAATGCGATATGATCCAGTGCTCGTAAAACGGGTCTTATTATCAATAGTTTCTACTAGTTTTCACTTTACTATGGCAACTCCCACCTGGAGGGAGACACACAGCGTCTTTCCACTTCCTGCCAAAAACAACTCAGCTTTTACCACACTGTTGGCCAAAATGCCAGATAGTTGTTGTACAATTGGATAAACAAACCGAAGAGACCGAAGAGAGACATGTCTGGGCCGTGTTTCTACAGAATCCCCTCTCGGAAAGAAACCAGAGAAAGGAGGACATTGTGGATTTGTGCAATTAGCTGTGCTGCTGTCCCCGAGGAGCACACTTCTCCTAAACTTGCGGTACAAATGCAGGGGGCCAAATCCCATCAATCCCTCCTTCTCCACAGCATCCCAGGCTGTGGGTCATTAAACTGTGTGGTTAACCTGACAGTGGGAAAAAAAAGTTTATATTGAATCTATATCACAAGATGCTGTGTTGTCTCCACTATACTGCATTTCCACTACTGCCTTTGAAAGGATATCTGCTGAAAGCACTCAAATACTATTTAATGATGATGCATGTATTGTCCTTCACCTCCCAAATGACTTCATTTTTTACCCATTATATGAAAAGTACAGATAACTGTCTGTACTTTTGTACGCTTTAATCTTGGCAGCAGTGTAAGCCGATAGATTCTCCACAAGATATCTGTAAACATCGGCAAAGTACAGCTTCTGCAGAAGTACTTGTCGGTTTTTAATGATTGAAATACCGCAGTGGAGGCTGTATATGGGTCATACGTGCCTTAGACTTGCTGTATGTTTATATATCTTTTTTATTTCCTCTTTTCAGATGAAATCTTAACAATCCTGGCTTGTAAAATATGGAGATTTGACAGACTTGAGTTCCCAGTGTCAGTATGGTGTTTTGCCCTTCAGGTCTCCGGGCCAGTCAAGTGACTAAAAACTTTGAATTGCAATCTTGAACACATTTGGTCAAGTTGGCATGAATCTTAAGCAACCCTGCCAAACATTGGGCATTTTAAGTTCATCCACAAGTTTTTTGGCAGGACTGCATTACTTCTATTTGCTGAGTCAGTAGTATTGTTATAGCCGTGCTGTCTAAGATGCTCTTCTGAAGTGAAAAGGACAAATAATTTCAAAGAGCATAGTGAAGATTTGTCTGTGTAAGATAACATATTTGGATTTGGAGGGGGGATTTTTCCTTGACACACAGACACAGACTGATAGATTGTATTGTTGCAATTGTTAGCTTTCAGAAGGAGGTTGAAGCTGAGGCTCGACAGCGCCTGTATATTTAGGTTTAGGTGTCTCTTGTTAAATGGCAGGGCTGCAGACTGTGGCAGTGGACTGAGACAGGCTGGGAGTGCAGCCAGAACTCACAGGCCACCGACTACACCAAGAATAGCTCTACGTGTGTGTGTGTGCTTGTGTGTGTGCGAGAAAGAGGAACAGAGATAGTGTGTGTGTCGCCGTGTCTGAGTGTGTATGAGTGACCATGACTTCTATCATTCTTGCTAATGATGAAAGTGTTTCAAGGTAGCAGTGAGATGTCCTTAACACATGCTGTAAAGTTATTCCTGCATGTAAAGTGAATGGGCTGCTGTCATTGAGGATAAATCTTTACTTTGTTCATACACTTGCACTTTGACCGTGGCATTCACACAAAATGCAAACATTTTCTAACTTTTTCTCGTGGCATTGTTGGAGACACTCCATTTTTTCGAAGTTCCTATATTGAATATTCAAACCACTCTATGCTGTCTCATACAATCATATAGATGAATAATTGAGACTGACGAATGTGAGTGATTTACCATCACAGTATATCCTATGCTTTATTACATCTGATGCTGTGGCATAAGAGTGAACACTACACCAGGAATGGTAATAAATGATTATGCATGCAGCTAATTAATCTGATGAATATTTATAACCACTTAAACACATTGTAATGGACTGATTAAGCAGTCCAACGCTGCAAGTTTGAATTAGTGCAGTTTTTGAATAATGACAGAGTAACTTTCCATCTCACTGCTAATGTTCTTCTCTTTAAATGGGGAGCCTTTTTCTCACATTTTCCCCAGCCAGCTTTTTCCCTCCCTCGCTAATTCAAAGCAGCGCAGCAACATTAGAATGGAACATGGCAATTATCACCTTTTATCTTGGGTGGGCGCGCTTGCTCGCTCTTACCTTCCCTCTGTTGCTGGGGAATGATGGTTGGTTGCTGGGGGAACGCCTGGCTGATTGGCGCATAGGCGGCAGGGTAGGCTGCTGTTGCAAAGGGAGAACCACAGTGGAATTTTTCACATCTCCATTTTCATATTTGACACAACAAAACTCAAATCATTATTCCATTGTTCATTTGCGTCCTCTAGACATTGCATAAATAAATTGCATTATGACTGGGAGCCTGGGCTCATTTGGATGGTGGATCACTACACAAAGAGTTTGGAAAAAGTGAGTGTGGAGTGCTGTTCAACTAAGCAGGCACAAAAGAAAGAAAGGGAGACTTGCACCTTGTTAATGAGAGCCGATGTCAGGCGGAGAGCTGTGGTTATGAGAGGTCTATGTCATATCTCATGTAGGAGGCAATGGCAGGTTCTGTGTGTACTTTTAGAATTACGTTTTTTCTTAGTGGGTGTATAATAAAGTCAACTCTAAATCCTTTCGCAATCCTAATGTAAAGTAGTTTAATCCTGGAGAAAATTGTCTGGTCGTCCAGCTATCTCTACCTGTCATAGTGTCCACTGATGTGGCAAACAGAAAAAAGGGAGAGGGGAGAGGACAGATGGAGGGAGTGAGAGAGTAGAGGAGGTAGGAGAGGCAGATCACCTGCGTAGTGTTGGACGCCAGCATAAGCCTGTTGGAGAGGGTCGTTCACCGTTGGACTCTGTGCTGCAAGAGAGACGAAACAAGAGACAGAGAAAGAGGGGTGACAAAGAGGAAAATGAAAGCAGGGGAGACAACGAGGGGATGGAAAATGGTCAAGACAGACGCAGAGACACACAAAAACAAGGATCTATTGTTAAAGAGCAAGACAGAAATTGGTTTAGCTGTAGAGAACCATCAGGGGGTGAGATCACACAGGGAGCGGGAAAAATTTGGGTTGTCATATCTCCGTTTTTCAAAATGCCTGTTTGCCCCAGATGTTTGCATCAAATATTAACAACATGCCAAACAAACCACTTTGTAGTTCATTACAATTGCAGCTGCCTCTGCATAATGTAGAAACGGGGAGTGGGTGTCTGTCAATTCTTCAGGAATCAGTCCCAGACAACATTAAGAAGCCGAGGACGGGCTGAGACACATCAAATGAACCATAATGGACTGATGGATGAACTGATGGATTCATCATGATGCTAGGGCTGGCTGCTCAGAAATCTGCCAGAGACACTGTTGATTGACCCTCGAGCCTTAAACGCTTCAGTTCAAATCAGAAAAAGATGTAATGAGAGTGTGAAGTAAAAAAGGACTCTTGTCAACTTTTTAACAGTTCCCTGAGATATTAATCAATTTGTCAACACTGGCATGTTGAACTTGCATAGTGGAGAATACAGTGATAACATGGTTTCTTTGCAAGGGTCCCCTCAACTATAAGAGATGGGATTTGGGAGGATTGCACATTTATGATGCCTCCATGTTTTGTTCAGCAGGATAATCTCCACAAATTAACACAACTTTTATGATTTTTGAAGCGTTAATAGAATGGCGAGAAGTAAAAAGCTACTGTTAGGCTATAAACCAACTTCATCACGGAAATCACTACCGCTAAGCTAAAGGCGGCTAATAGTCAGAGTGATGACGTTTACCACTCTAATTTGGTCACTTGTTAGCAACCATGTGTTTTTATGATAAAGCTTCACACATTTACGAGTGGGGTCATTACTGACGCTTCTTATGTGGTAGAATAAAACGTGAACATTTCTTAAACTTGTGTTAACCCCAGACATTATTTTTAGGGCTGTCAGTCGATTAAAATATTTAATCGCGATTAATCGCATGATGTCCAATTAATCGCACATTTTGTATCTGTTCTAAATGTACCTTAGAGGAATATTTTTCAAGTTTTTAATATACTCTTATCAACATATGAGTGGACAGATATGCTTTATGCAAATGTTTGTTTATTATCATTGGAACAGTGACAAATATTCTCCTGAATATTCTCAACACAACAACCTGGAACCTCTCTCTCTCTCTTACACTCTCTCCCAACCCTGTCTACTTCTTTGCACAGAGCCAGTTGCTCAAACAGACAAGCCTGTTTACAGTTGTCTGCGAAATCCCGCTCCTCTGTCTTCATAACAGTCAAAGCATGAGACTGAAGTTCCCACTGTGGGTCAAAATAATGCGCTGTGATGTGCAGTCGACACGTTGGATGCGATCCAAATTATCTAACGCAGCCCCTCGTCCTCCACAATGTTAAGCTGTAGCCACCCATTTAGCTACCGCTGTTGTTGTGCAGGCGTCTCCCTGGCAAACTTTCAAGCGTGGTCTGCCGCAAGCGAGCGGCAGGAGCGGGGCTGTCGGCATCAGCTGGGTGCTTGGCTTGCTGTTTGAAACACCTTTTTTTGTATCCATATCTCTCACTAGAATCTCCCACCATCCAACTAACAACAACAACAACAACGTCAAGCCTTTGGGCTCTGAAACTACAGGGCGGGCCAAGGACAAATGCACATGCGTTAATCGCACGTTAAAATAATTAGTGGCGTTAAAAACTGTTTGCGTTAATGCGTTATTAACGCGTTAACTTGACAGCCCTAATTATTTTATATATTTAACCGGATGTGGTAAAACGCTGAGTAATTCCTGGGTTTAAGGAATCTTTCCTGCATCCCTTTTTTAGGTGATCTTCTTGTTAATATCAAGTTCAACACCAGAATAATTCACAAACCTCCATCAGTACAAGATGATAATTGTAAGTGTCAGGGTCAGACGACTTAAGATGTTACAAATCTCATGTTTCTTTTATCGTAGACCTTGATTGGCTCACCTGGGTACGGGTGAATACCATTGGTGTAGACGTGCTCATTGGCCTGCCCGTTGCTTTGAGGGAGGGTACTGAATCCGTTAACCCCGATCGTGGTGGCTAGGCTGGGCACGGATGTGGCAGAGATGCCTGGGGGTGTGCTGGTGCCTGCAAATAGATACAGAGTCATTACGTGAAACTGCAGGGTGCACGCTTCACATGCTAGAGACTCGTAAATAGAGGTGCGAGAGAATTTTCTACTCAAATGTAAATGTTCACACTAATGTAATATTTAATTACACCCACATTATGGGCCCTCATAAGCAAAAACATACTCCTTTTGAACCACCATAATGGTACTGTTTGGTAAAATTGGTACCAATTAAGCCTGAACAATTACTAAAATCAGTCAAGGTAGCACACTGGAAAAATGTGAGGGTGTGGGGAAAAAAAGCTAACCCTGACTCTAATCATCACATCCCTGTTTAAAGGTTTATTTTTCTCACTTGAGCAACAAAACTATTCTTTAGCAGTTATATAAGTAGTAGTACGAATAAGACTCACAATAGCAGGCAGCATAATGTCTCATAGTCCCAGTCTGTCACCTTGTCAGTGCCCTTTTATGCTGATAGCAGGTTTTTATTATTTTTCTAATCCAACTGAAGGGCATTTAAGTCATGTAGGATTATGTTTGATAGGCATAACTTGGTGTATGTAGGCTTTGTGGATTACAAATGCCAGGTACAGCATCAAACCACTTTATTTAATACATTTGCAATGACCCTGCCTTCAGGCAGTCTGCCTACTTAGTGTCGAGCCATCAAAGCTCCTCATGACAAGGGCCAAAAAGATAGTTCAGACTGGGGTCCAGGATTATCTCACACAAATCTTTGCTCTTATATTGTATAAACCAAGGACTCTGCATCCAAAGTCATTGGATTGGCTATATTCCCAGAAAACACACACTGTCACAGACACAGGGAGGGAGAGAGCGACAGACAGACAAAGAGCGAGACAGAATATAATGTAGCTGTGCATTTTCTCCCATCATGCCCCATTCAATATACAGTAAGGGCTTTTCTTCCTTTAATCCAACACTGGCAATTCAGCCCAGAAAATAGAGCCACATTTTAAAAGATGTAACAAGGGCAAAAGCAGAAAGGCCTTGAATGAATACATTACTACTGCTTCTATAATTCTTGCTAATGATGAAAATGTTCCAGGTCAGCAGTGAAAAATGGCGCGAGATGTCTGTGTTATTGCATGTGTTCTTGCTACCGAGTGAGTTGGTGCGCGCGTGTGTGTGTGTGCCTATTAGCAAATACCTGAGGACGGTGTCATGGGAGTAGCCACCAGGCCGTTGACATTGAAAGCTGCCATTTGCTGCATTTGAGCGGCAGCGATGGCAGCCATGGGGTTCATGTAGGACCCTTGTGTTGCTGCCATCAGGGCTGCTTGCTGTTGCATCATCTGCTGTAGGATTAAAGAGCGGTGGGGAGAGAGGTGGAAGGGAGGGATTGAGAGAAGGATAGAAAAGGAAAGGAGGGTGAAATAGCCGCAGGACCAGAGCATGTTTACTCTCACATCTTTGTTTGCTTGGCCCATGCCTTGTTCTTGTACAGAGTGATCTGTGTTGCCCTGCAGCGTTGCTTCCCGGCTAGTGTAACATTGCTCTGGCCTTGTGCTCTTTGTACTGACACAAGATAAAGGCAATGTGGTGAGATGAATTTAGCAAACTGGAGACTATGTATATCTGTATGTTCTGTATATGTTTAACCCCGACCCAGTGGCAGAGTTAGTGGAGAGATTGTACGTGAGTGGGCGATCCACACCTGTCAGGAAGAGATGATGGCTACAGTGAGATCTCACAGACTCCAAGCTGTGGCTTTCATGTGTGAATATGCAATGGGGCTGGGGTGGAGTGGCAGGAATAAGGGGTAAGGGGTGAGTGGCTTTGGGTTCCCTCGTAATGAAGTGCACCTCAGTTTGAGTGTTAAGGCACATGTGAACGAAATGTTAAAGAGGCAAGCTTGGATTGGCGGTTTAAATTCACAGAACAAGTCAGGAAATATGGGAATGGGTAATGCATTTGAAACGGATGCTCTCTACTGTATGAAAGTGAAACAGTGTAGTGCTGATCATACATGATAAGCAGCTTCCCTGGACAAATGAAGGGGTAAAAAGACACAATACAGCATTTTCTATAATTCTCTGAAAATGTGCAGCCATGTAATGGTGTTAATAATGAAGGAGTTGGGTCACATGCCTAGTGGGAGAAACAGGGAATTCAAATCACAACATTTTTTATTTTATTTTTTTAAAGCTCACCGTCTCCTCCCCCGCCGGGCTGAGACTTACAGCATGAGAGTAGGCGCCATAGGCCCCAAACTGGATGGTCATGGGACTGAAGATGCCGAGCTGGCCCGCCATCTGGTGCATCCTGCGCAGGGTCCGCTCTTTATCAGTGTCTGCGAATTTGACCACCAGACTGGACGAGGCACCCTAGAGGGGCACAGATAAAAAGGTCAGTGAAATATGCAACTTAACTTCCCTCTGAGTTTGTAAATTGGAACGATTTGAGTCCTTACTGTATATAAAATGTTTGGCAGTTCATCAACACACTTTTTAATGGCTCATTGGAGATTAGCTAGCAAATATACATAAAACGTTCTTGATATAGATATAATAGGTCGATTGGGTTATACAAGTTTCAAACAAGTAGGAAAACTGACAACACAAACTTTTGCAACTGACTTGGTTACTTTCAATCAGCAGCGTTTTTGCAGATTGCACCTGTCACTTCAGCTGGCCACCAAACTAATGAGCTTGTTTTTTGTTAGCAAACTGTCTGTGAACATCCTTAGACTGGATAAATGATTGCCATTATTATTGTTATTATAATTATTCACTGGGAAAAACTGAAAGATGACAACAGGGCAAAAACACATATTCTGTTGCTACAGTAGTTTGGGGAAATTATGTTGATTTACCTAAAACTAAAAGACAAAATACTGATATAAATTCTAATGTCACTGAATGACATTGTTCAATATGCCTGACAATAATTACTATATTATGCTGCTTTATCTGGAATTGTGCAGACATGTAAACACATTGAAGACATATTAGTCAGACCATAACCCAAATATGGGTAATTTATAAACAAGGTTGCCGAATGCAGTACATTTGCATCTTTTATTGTGTGGTTTGAAAATAGCTTCCTCACAATGTGTGTGTTTCCCTTGGGGAATGACCTGCAACAAAATGCTGGCTCCATATTAAAAGAATGTAGAGCTTATCCGTATCCGTGCATCAACCTTATTTTCTAAAAAAAACGTGAGTGTTGCCTCTCTTCATCGCCTCAAAGAAGAAACAGTGAACAGTGGTGGGCATGTAATTCATTTCTGCCATCTGATGTCCATTGTACACATCAGTCAAGCCTTTATGACCTCATATCTCTGAGCCAATGAAGTCAGTGGAAGTGAATGTGCACCTCTCATGACGGCAGTCATTTAGCTGTCAGCGCTAAATGGAAGAGAATAGTGAGTGATATTTGCTTTGTGAACTTTCTAACTCCACTGTATACTCAGGGAGTGAACTGTGATCCTAAGCAGATCCCACAGGAGTCCCAGTCCCAGTGGTGCAGCTCCACTGAATACAGTACTGGGTAATTAGGTCTGACAAAGGCCTTCGGCATGTGGAGGGTGAAGTATTGACTAATGGCTCTGCCTTATGGCAGATATAGTTCCGTATTGATGTCCGTGCTCCTGAGTTTGCATCCAATTAAATCATTTGAAAGACAGAGACCAGAGTCAGTTCCTCATATGACATCCAGGCAAGGAGAGAGAGGGAGAGTGTGTGTGAGTTAAAGACAGAGAGATAGATCCGGAGAGATAGATCCGGAGAGAGAGAGAGAGAGAGAGAGAGAGAGAGAGAGAGAGAGAGAGAGAGAGAGAGAGAGAGAGAGAGACGAGAGAGAGAGAGAGAGAGAGAGAGAGAGAGAGAGAGAGAGAGAGAGAGAGAGAGAGAGAGAGAGGATGAGGAGGCTGCCAGGCAGAGAAAGCAGCCACAGAGACTGTCAAGAGGACCAGGCTCCTATTTAATTACAGGCAATGCATGCTGGGAAAGAGCACTGAGCACCACCAGGACAGAAGGACACAGGCAGCCAGGGGGCAGTCAGGATATGATTAGTAAGATCATAAAAGCAAAGACACGGGGAGAAAAGGACTCCATAATCACAACTTGGATTCATCTTTCACAAAATGTCTCATCCTGACAGGGTCAGAACAAATTCAGGCTTTGATTTAGATTTCCATATTTACTGTGGGTGTAGGAGTTGGAAATGTGAGTGCAGGGCCCAGGTGAGAAGACGAGGCTAAGAAGTGGGATGCTGCACACACCTGTTTTTTGCAGTCTCATAACAAATTGAAATTGACAAAGCTAGGGGAGGCTACAGGTCAACTGCCACATTACCAAAGCAGAGCAGAAACAAACACACTTATGCTGAGCCCTGTGAAGCTGAATATGGAAACTGCACAGTGTGTATGCAGCCACTGAACACACACAGTCTCAGTCTGACTGTTTCACAGCCTAACTTCATGTCATTTCACAGTCATTTCTACACTAAGTGTGTCCTATTTTCAAAGCGCTTCATGAAATTTTAAACAATTCCTGCTAAGAAATAGTGTCGTTGAGAGGGCAGTGCCAATCCTGTCAGATACTTTAGAGTTTGGTTAGTCATGACTGCTGCAGCACAACTTACATCATAGTTAGTCATATACAGTATTCATCCTGCCAGCAGTATGTCCTACTCTACTTTAACATCAGTCTGATCCTTCCCTCAGCTACTGTTTTTGTTTTATCTATTTTTTCATTATAAACAAAGACAAAAAAAAATCCTTTTCTAAATGCAAAACACAAACAAGTTCTTGTTCAGAGGCTTTGCAAGTAAACTATTCGATTAACTCGTGTGGAAAGTGACTTTAAAACATTCTATTAACACAACCAAGAGAATGTGTTGGGCATAGATAACTGTGGGGAAGAGGCTGGGAAATGAAGGGAGGCATCAGCGTGGACCCCAGGGACAGTGCGTCTCAGATGGGATTCTATCAGAGGCAGCCAGCACCCCACCTCAGGCCAGAGGAGACCCATCTGGTGTTTCTCCCTCGATGCCATTTCAATTAGCTAAATCAATACCCCGACGTGGCGGCGTTAACGGCACAATTTCTCCCTTTCTTATTTCATTTCATCCCACCTCCCGACCTCTTTCTCTCGTTCTTTCTCAACTTTGCGGGGCCAGTGGAAGGGACTGGGCTGTTGGATTTAATGAGGCTGGCACTGAGCAAACATCCTCCTCCAGCGTTGTTGCTTAAGCCTGCTCGCAGCATGGGGGCCTGGCATTTAGATCACATTCATTTTCTACCTTGTGTGTGTGTATTCTTACATTCATTTAATTCCTCATGAAGAATGCATTGGAGCATCGGGACTGTGAAAGCCCGAGGCTGCCTGTACCCACTGCACCGTGACTCAAAATGAAGCGAGGCTGGCCTGGTGTGCCTCCTCCCAGCAGAGCGCTCTGCTGCAGACGACGGGAGGAGACCCAGTCTGCAGTCTGTACACTGAACAGACCTGGCAGCAGCATTAAAGCAACAGCCTCTGCAGGTGTTGTGTGCAGTGCCACTCATGTCAGAGCCTTGCATTTTCAAGTTTCTTAGCATAAAAGCCAAAATACCCCCCACTAAAAAAAGAAAATGCACTCATCCTCAACCCTGAAGAGGATAATTGAATATCCTTCTCTCTGACTATATCCAGGGTCTAATCAGAAAAAGCAGATTATAGTGTGAACTCCCTCACGGATCAGAAGTTTCTATCCACGAAAAGAAAGAGTAATATGTGTCCAGATAATGATGGAACAGGTGGCGGCAGACAACAGGCACTGGATGCAAAGCAGCCACTCCTCGCTGGTAGCATAAAATCACAAGCTGACAAACAAACAGAATAATAACCTCCAACCGGCGTGACTCCCTACCTGGAGAGAAAATGAATTTGCTGAATTTGATAAGGGCCAACAGGGAGCCTTCACTTTTGACAGGTACAACTAAGGAATTTGTCACAGGTTCAAAAACTAATCTAATTTCTTGAACAACACACTTGACTTGTGAAAATCTCTCATATTGGATTCTGTATAGGCCTGTGCAATGTGTAGATGGAGAAATACACAACGGTAATTGAGGGATTAGAACTTGACGGCACCGGTGAAATGGCATTCTGCCTTTATCTCTGCATTACTGTGATACAAAGGCGCCGGTGTTAAGTGTGTACTAACAGGTAAACAGACACTCATTTTCCAATTTCTACAGGGGCTTACAGAGAAATAATACCACGCCACACTCATTGGAGAGAAAACTGTCTTTTTTCGCACAGCATACTAATGATTAACAACCACTGTTATAAGAACAGTCTTTCTTTCGCATTCGGCAAACATGTAACAGCTACTAAATGACAACTCCCAAAGTTGTGTTTCTATACTTATAGACTCTAAAAGTGCTAATTGAAAATCTGTAAGAAATTAATTGAAAACACCATAGCAAGTTTGTTTGGTAATTGGATGAACCCCCCACAGGCTTCCTATTCAACTCTCTGAACCTTGCTACATCTCTGCTAGCCTCATGGGAGGACTGTCTCTCATTAGCACTGGATGATACTGTCTAAGTCTGGACTTGCTGTCCACCACATCCAGCTGCTGCCGCCGAGCACACTGCATCAAGCCAAAAGACACAGAAGGACAATACTGTCACTCTTGGTTTCTGTGCTGCAACAGTTTCCACCACAAAATGTAAGGAGTGGGAAAAAACAAACTCCGTGTTTGTCAGCTACAAGCCTGCTGAGATTTTACAGTAGTGTTATTTGGCATTTGATGAATTGTGTGTTACTATGACAATGTTCTCTGGCTAAGTCTTATCTCTCATTAATCCAGAACTATAGTATCACACATGCACGCTCTTGTTGCTGCCAACACCAGCGAGCTCCACAGGCCCTGTCAGCCACGCTGTGACACCGAACATGACAATGTCTGCAATTTGCTGGGTGCTGTCTGCCTGCCCCCGGCTCTGCCATTTGAAGTTTTGCCACCTGTGCCTCTGCAGACATACTGTAATTCAACACACGAACCAATGGAGAGCGCCTGTTCGGTGCCCAATCACCTCTTAAGTTAATTTTGGAAGCACCTGCAATCTGCAATAAACATCAATTAAAGCGATGACCTGATCTATCAGCGTGTGCCCTTTGGTGGCATCCCTTGCCCTTAAGCTTCATTAAAGCCTTTCAATTTGGGCCAGCGTATTTTGGTGCAGGTATTATTTATGGCATGTGTGCGTGTGCCAGGTAACACAGATGCCGGAGTGAGAACATTAAGAGGGAGAGAGAGACGGAGAGGGAGCGAGAGACAACTCTTTGTTCAAGGTTCATCCAGACCTCACAGCTGGCAGCAGGCAGAGAGAGGAGCAGCCCACTCTCTGAATCCTGCCTCCTGTTAGTCTGTTGTTGACGACATGTGGCAGTGATATTATCCAAATTAACTGCATCCCCCATCGGTACCAAAGCCTTAGTTGGATACTAATGGCCACCTTGCCTATTAATCTGAGAGGAAGTTGGATTTGTGACGAGGAGGATAACAGGTGCAGGGATAGAGGGAGAGAGATATGGATAATATAGATTATGAATGAACTTTTGGATCGCTCTTGATACGCTTCAGGTCTGTTAGGGGGTCCATATGTTGCTTTGGACAGATCATCTGCAGCAGACCTCAGGTGGCTCCACCTAATGAAACTGTGCCTAGGCTGCGGCAACACAAACATACACGAAATGTGCGAAAGCAGTCCACATGAGCCAAATGTTGATCTGTACAAGAAAGCACTCCAGAGAAATCCAATTATGTAAATCCCCTAGATGTAAACATATTCCGTTGATTGAGTCAACAAGATATTTTGAGTACAAGGTAAATATCTCGATTATAATCACATTTCGGTAAGAGGCCTGTCATAAGTACGCGCGATTAGTCTGGAACATGATTATTCTTTGGCTCGTGGCCCGCTGCAATTTTGACCCTTGTGGATTTCTGAATAAAGTTTTCTATGCTCAACAACGCAGTTAGACTTTACCACTTATTTTACACCCTCACTACTTCAATGTAATGCAAAATGAGGCGGCATCAAAAAGATGTGTAAATTACATCTGGCTTCCAGGACACTATCTGGCTGCCAGGATGCGTCCGTAAATATTTATTGCGAAACATCAGTGAAGTGTGTGAAGGTGTGGATATCTGCCAGAAAGAGTGTTTGCTTGTGTGTGTGTCCAGCTGTGCAGCACTCAGCACACATGCAGCTCTGGCAGGAAGACGCTTCCCAACTCGTGATTTATTTTACTTAAGCCTTTTTGGTAGCCTTCTTCAAGCCTGACAGAAGTATATCCAATTCCTAATTAACTTCAGCTTGACGAGAGTTACAGGTTTTGTGGCCTCATTTTTCAACTAAGCAACTCATAACTACTCTAAACCCAACACGAAAACCTACTCTCCACATTTCCTTCAAAACTTTTTTCCATCCTACTGGAAAGCACATTTGGATCAATATCTATTCTGTAGTGCCCATTAATTGCCCCAGTAATTATTGCACCACTCTCTTGCATTGCATTTGAGCAATAAAGTACATGTAAACATGCTGTGTGATTCTGTGTAATGGCTATCTAGGTGATCTCACCAGAGCCATGAAAATAAACCACTGAACTATGCAGGCTACGAAGCAACACTTCCAGTATTTACAGCCTATCATTATTGCACAACATATCAAAATGAATACCCCTCTCTTGGGCAGCTTACACCCAGGCTGTAAGAATAACTGTAAAAAAGCTCAAAGTTAATGGGAGCCTGATAAACTGCAAGTGTCAAACAACATTATGAAAGACTTAATGTGGAAAAAAATCAGGACGCAGTTAAGGAAGCAAAAGTGGATCTTCAGTATGACCTCATTTTGAAGATCCATCCCAACTCGAGGGTGCTTTCCAATTTATTGACTTACTTGTTAACCTCACTTTCTAGTCACTGCCTTTCTTGATGTGTTCAAGCGTTTTAAGCATTTGATATTGTTTAACAAAGTGTAACCCCCTGACAGGGGCCACTCTGTCACTGTTCATGATTTTGCTGTAATGAGTTGTTTTTTTTGGTAATTTCTACCATGATGCTTGAAGCATTTTAGATCACTCTTCACATTACAGTACATTCAGCAGCCTGCATGTTATCTCTGATCTGAAGCACTCTTGCTATGGGTTTGATTTGTTTTTTAAAGATGCATATTTTTTCACTGGCTGTACTCCCTAAAAAATAGTATCCTCTATCCACCCTTCATCTCGGTCTTGTTAAAATGGTGGGTTTTCAATCCAAGTCTAATTTTGTTTTACATGTACTGTATTCACAAAGTAATAGATCAGAAGCCCATAAATAAAACAAAAAATGTAATACTGTTATGCTGATGACTTGCATTTATATGAACAGAATTCAAGCAATGCCTTTGTAGCCATTTTCTTAGAGTGCCTTCACCGCCCAAAGTGTCACAGGTTAAATAAACAATTTCGGAAATTAGACTTTTTGGCTTTCTACCTCAAAGATATTGCTTCACCATGAAGTTGACACATTCTCTCCCAATGCAAAGCCTTTCATTTCAAGCTAAATTCAAGCTATTAACTTTTCACAGAGGTACATTTCTAAAATGCAGAGACATTTTTGCATCCACAGGGAATCAGAAAATAGTTATCTATGCTTTAGTTGGTTCTTCTTGAGATCAAACAATGTTGTCTTGCACTTTCACAACAGAATCTTGTTTTGCATTTTCACAATGATTTACTGTCATCTTCCAGAGTGGATTTTCCCTAAACTACAACAGTCTTGTATTAACACTTTTTTGTATAAAGAGGTCTTCTGTTAGACTAATTTTAACTTATAGACAGTCTGCTTAACATATATTAGGGTTAGATTTATAAAAAATGTAAGTCAGCTTTTAAAGAATAGTGTAAAGAATACAATACTGTAATACAGTTATTTGCTTTCTACGCTTGCTTTAATCGATCGTTTGACTTACTTTGACTATACTTTTATTAATTTTCCTTATCTGACTGAACTAAGCCATAATAGTCAATAGATGGCCAGAAAAGTTTGTCCAACGGGAAGCTCTATCTATTTGGACATGTTAGCAGGGCAACGTTAGCTAACACATAAGCTAAAGGAACCTGATAAGCCAAGGTTCTGCAAGTTTTTTTCAAAAGATTATTAGGAATGCTCTGGAATTACATATTAAAAATGGCTAATTGTAAAAAATAATAATCTTTCGAATTAAAATGTTGTTTCTATTTCAAACTATTTTTTATAAAAGGAATTCTGTGCTATTAAATCATGATATAAAGACATGTTGCAGCACCAAAACCAACATCTCCAGTATCAATTAATTCTAGCTTGCACCATATAGTTATTTCATTTCTGTGTCCTTAATGGTCTTAATGACTTCAGTTTTAACTTGACAAATAAAAAATCATCATTATCATATTCATAATATATATGTGTAACAATGTCTCCTGAGAACATCCCCATGGATTAATGTGCAGTTCATAATTGTATCTCTATAAGGCTGCGATTGTAAACACTCTCTATCTGCCTGCTGAAAAGGTGTCTGAATAGCAGAAGAGGGAAATGGATATTGAGTGAAAAGACAGATACAGAGTATGCAGCTGTGCGCTGTAAGGTGGCAGCTGCTGACTGTGGAAATCTTTTGTGTGTGATAACACACAGCAAGAACGTATGTGAGACTGTGAATGATGTGCTTTGAAAAATAAGCGTCACTGTGGTATGCCTATACAGCATACAGTATATAAATATATCTATATGTGTGTGTGTCTGCGTTTTATATATATAAAGGCTCAAATAAATACATCAAAAATACATTTAATATTTCATTTTTAAAAGGCCTTGGCTACACATTTTTTTGTAGGCTTGGCCTGTGTTTATTTTTTGGCAGGGCAAAAAACTGATAAAAAGTCTATCAAACTATTTTTGTAAACTTTTCCAGAGGCTGTGGCGCAGTGGCCTAGTGCATTGGTGTTCGGATCAGGGGAGCACAGGTTCAAACCCCACTGCAGTCAGCATGTCGTTGTGTCCCTGGGCAAGACACTTCACCCCAAATTGCTCCTGGGGCTTGCCCACAGTTTTGAGTATGTTTGGATAAAAGCGTCTAACAAGTAACATGTAATGAACTGTAATGTAATGATGGGGGTGAGCTTATCTGCCCTCATTCTAGTAATGTAATGTTTTCCAAGTCTACCTCAAACATTTTATAAAAGTGGGACCATGGGGAACATGGATAGCAATATAGACATCCAAGGGTTGACACATAACTCGCAAAACTTCCTTTATGGCACTCCATATCAAGTGTCAAAGCACTTGTTTGCATCTACTGTAAAATAAACCAAATGATGTTATTAGAACATGTCTTATATGAATCAAAGTAGTTACTTACAGGCATAGTCTGTCCACCATGCAAGCTGTTGATGGCGGCCTGCGCTTCTGCGTGGCTGGAGAACTTGACAAAGGCGCATCCTGTACACAGAAAACGAGAGAAATAGAAGGGAGGGGCACAACATCAGGGAGATAGCCTTGAATATATGGGGGAAAAAACACAATTCATTACCGTTGTTTTCATGTTATCTGGTTTGTAAATATATTCCGCCATTTGTGTGTTGAGCGCATAACTCTGAATAAATCAGTCTAATTGTAGTGAAGGCATTAGCTGCGTGGAACATCCTGTCCCTCGCCCATTTTCTAAATCCAGCCCCTCCACTTCGGAGCATGGAGCCAAGGCATTTACTATCCGGACTTGTTTGTGATTATTAATCTGTTTAATATTTACACATTGTGATTTGTGTGCAGTCACTCATAAAAGAGATTATGATGACAAAGGCATAGTATTGTAATCTGCCGAATCTTTGCTCGCATAACATTTGAGATGGATGGTGGGGGAGGGGGGGGGGGGGGGGGGGGGGTGGCTTTGCTCAAGGGGCATTCAAATCATCTCAAATCTGTTGTGTAGTTATGCACAAAAGGAAAGTCAACATAAAAAGTTGGCCGGAAGACAAGGAATGGGTGTTCTGGCGCCTCATCGCATTAACATTTCAAATTATTCAAGTAGACGATAAAAATGCACCATGTTTTTTTGAAAGGTTACATATTCTAACCACATGATTGCATAGTGTATCAGTGTGTAGGTAAGGACAGGCACTGAACTACGACAACGTAAAGAGAAGTGAAATACAGTGGAACTGAAATGTGGTAATTTTGTAAAAGCCATTAAATTAACCAGGAGCTATTTCTCTGAGCTTTATGGTGGTCATAGACTGAATAAGGTATTCTGTTATGTCCTATTCTTATCCTTGCCTTCAGGTAGCTCATGTGTTAAGTCAAGAGATACCTAATTAACAAAGTCTGCCCTCTTTTCATCGATGGAGTCGCACCAGTTTCTGATAACTAGACAGGCTTTTTACTGAGTTAAATCCCTGGTTACTTGAGGACTGCTGTGACCTATTTAAAAAACGGTTACATGTGTTCATATACATTTATGCGTTTGACATTCCCAAAGGAGTCGTTATATTTGGTTTAAACACTGGAATGTAGGCCCTGAGGATGGTCTGTGTCATTCACTTCAAGAGTCAGCTTTGTTTCTCAGACAAAGAAATAAATAATTTCCCCAACAAAATCGAAAAGATTGAACTGCAAAACATGCAGTGTGTGCACGATGGAGAACAATATCCCCCTTTACCTGAGGCTCTGTTCACATTCCAGCCATATAATAAATGAGACATGTGGTAAATAGTAAAGGCCATGTGTTTCCTGTACTGTCAAATGTCCTCAAAGCTGTATAGATCTACAGAGGCAAACAGATAAGTCAAAGAAGCCTTTGATTCTGTCACAGCGCTCTAGCACCCTTTTACTTCGCTTGAACGCCCCTCTGGGTGCAGGCTGGAAAGGTCTTCATTTGTCCAACTGAAATGCGTCAGCCCACTGCGTGCCATTTGACTGCGAGTCTGTCTTTGAAGGAACAAACACATTTAACCTTTGTAGTTGAAATAATAAGAGGCAGTTTGTTTCTGCACAAGCCTTTTTGTTTTTCAAGGCAAGATAACTTGTTATTGGTTCCCTAACAAGGCTATCAGATAGTGTGCCAAAATCCCAGTGACCCCAGCAGCAAAAGCCCAACCAGAAAGACTAAACTGCAGGGCTTGGCAAACACCATCAATGGCAAAGTAATGTCAAACAATGTCACACTAGAAATTCAAGGCTGGATCCTCCCTTTTCCTGACCTAGAAAAGAAAAAGTGAAGGGACACAGAGCAAAACATCTCCAAAGAATTGCTCTACAGCCTCATAAATTATAGTGCACATTTGAGTTTTAGAATTTGATAGCTCAGAATGAGTTGGGGGGGAAAAGGAAAAAGAGAGATTGTAATGCTTTCAACCGAGAGAATCTGCGCTGCCTTTTGAATTCCCGGGGTAATAATATGTATGCGTGAATTCCATCCCGCTGGATGGGTGACATTTATAACACAACTTAATTATAGACCTAAAAGCCATCTCTCTATTTTTCCTGACAATTCAGGGCTCTATTCAACTCTGGAAGCAAGTGTTGCACTTTGAAAGTACTTTGAGGAGCAGCGCCATAGAGAGATGGATGTTAAACTTCTCGGCCTTTTTATTGGGTGAAGAGGGGTGCTGAAAAGCTTCTGAGTAGCATACATTTACATCAACAGGGGACAAAGCCTCCATCATGGAACAGATAGCACTGTCAATTTCAAGGTCTGTCTCATTCAAATTACAGGAACCTCATCCCAGGCGAGGCGGCTGGCAAAATAATTTGCCGTAACATCCCGTAATGATTGCGTAGGACTGTTGCTCAGTGAGTGATAGGACCAGATACCTATATATGAGACCTTTGTCTGGTGGTAGCATTCATACTTAACATTGCTCTACATTTTCCCATTTCCTAGCAGTGAAAACTTGAAGAATAGGTGATGATCAAGCCACTTATAATAGAGAGACAAATACTAACACAGGAAACGTATGGCATGTGAAGAGAGGAGAAAGCGATAGAGATGAGGTGCGGGGTGCAGGAGGGTGAAAAGGAATGAAAGCGCGAATAAGGGAGAAAACTAGTTCCTGTTTGACACAGCAGCAGCGGCCTTATTTCATTCCATGTGCTGTCAATCAGCTTGAGGCATCTGAGCAGACAGGAAGAGAGGGAGCCGGAGAGACAGCAAAAGAGGAAACAAGCCACGGAGAAAGAGAGGTAGTGGGCCGATGGGGCGACGCAGAGCAGTAGACCCGGGATTAACAGTGAGAGGAACAGATGTAGACACAGATATGCGTGTGGTTCAGTATAGCCAGTCTTTCTCTTTGATATACTCAGACGGCTCGCGAATTATCAACCCTTCTCCCTTGCCTTCCCACATATCTGTTTCACACATCCAGTTACCTCATATAGGAGAATAAATCACAGTCAACAGAAAAAGAAAAGGGAGGTAGAAGTTCTGAGCAATATCACCGGCGTTATCACTTCAAATGTGGCTGTGAGACAGAGATCCATCATAGGCCGATGGGGGACCCTCTCGCTCCCTCAGAACAATCCCACCTGCATCGCACATCCATCTATAATTTGACCACGCTCTAATAACTAAATAGCACATAAGCGACCGACATGAATACATAAGCTAAACGAAACGCGGAGCACGGCTGCTTTATTTACAGTAGGACATTATCGTCCAATGGGGTCTCTGGGGAGGGATAACGGGAATGTGGGAAACACACATGATTACACCCCTTCACTTTACAGATAACAGGAAGAAGAAGGAGGAGGTGGGGGGGAGAGAGGGGTTCTGAAAGACGAGGTGTTGTTTGATTTCTTTTTTTTTAGTAGAAGCCCAGGGTGAGAGGAGCGGCCGTGGTGAAGAGACAACATAAGAAACATTTTGGGAGGGGAAAGAAAAAAGGGCGAGATAAAGGAAAAGTAGAGTGAGAAATAAAAGTGAAGGGAAATACATAGAGAAGTGAGAAAAGGAAAGTGGGAGGCGAGGAGGTGTCGGAGAACGGTGACAATGAGCTATGAAAGAAATGCAGACGAGACACATAAGAGGTGGTGAAAAAACGGAATAGCTAACGGGAAGGATGGGCTATTCAGAAGAGCAGAGTGAAATGCAGACAATGAGATGAGATGACGAAGCATGGGTCTACAAATGAGTAGAAAGAGAGGCGGCATATGTACAGACAGACAGACAGACAGACAGACAGACAGACAGATGGAGAGATTTAGAGGGACAGACAGGGAAAAAAAGAGTGGGTGGTGTGTGGGCTCTGACCCTTACTGGCCCCATCAGGCCCTCGCAGGACGGTGCACTCCTCGATCTGGCCGAAGGTCTCGAACAGCCGCCGGACGTCCTCCTCGCTCTGCTGCTTGCCGAGCATTCCCACAAACAGCTTCCTGTCTTCTGGATGGGAAGAGAGGGAGGGGGAGGAAGAGGGGGGAGGAGGAAGGAGGGAGGGAGGGAGGGAGGGTGGAAGAGAGGAGAGAACAGACACATGCTACAGCTGATGGAACCGTTCTGCTGAGCTGAGAGGAACTTGAACTCAAACCACCACCACCACCACCTTTTATCAGCAGTCTGCTGTGTAGAGAATACGTTGCTGTTGTTGTTGTTGTTTTTGTTGTTGATCGTACTGTTGTGTGGTGTGCCACCCCACCCTGGTATGAGAGAGATGTATTCCTGTTTTCAGGGAGCTATTGAAGTCTGCCGCGGTGACGTTTGATACAGAAGATGTTTTGAGCGCAGGTAAAAGGCGAAAAAAAGAGCGGAGATGTTTTGCGCAGGAAGTGCAATTGTTAGATCGACCGGATGCTTTAGTCACTTAGTTTAAAGAGAACATGGAACAAGAACAATGTATAACATGTTCTCATCACTAAAGGAGTAGGAATCATAACAAGCAAGAGCAACTGAGCAGTACAATCTATGCAATGAGAAACTCGGGAAAAGTTCAAAACAGCCAGCGTGTTCTGGTTCCTCATAAAAGACTCAACTTTGTCATCCATTTCCACTTTATGATGACAGCTTGTAGAGTATGTTGTATAGAGACACACTTAAGGAAATCACATTTCCTTAGTAAAAGGGCTTATTTAAAACTGAAATTGAGGAACAAATACTTAAGAAAAAGTGTATAAATGACTAAGTAGTACAATTAACAAACACAATTTTGCGCATAGCCAAGTGTTGGTCGCCAGGAAATAACAGATGAAGCTTTTCTGTGTAAAGTTGTCTGTAGATAATTATCAGCCAAATGTTTGCAAATCTGTCAAACTTCAACAAATCCAAACTAAAACTGAGCTAGATTCACATTTCAGAAGAACAAATATATTACTGCTATTTTGTGCACCCACAGCCGAATTCTATACAACTGTTCACAAGTTAAAGGGGACCTATCATGCAAAATGCACTTTTGTACGTCTTTTATACATGAATATGTGTCCCCGGTGTTCCAGGGAACTCACCAAGTGTCAGAAAACACAACCCTCTCTATTTTCCTCCATACCCAAATCTCTAAAAATGGGGCTGCAACGGATCTGATAAAAACTGATCCAGATTTGAACACTGTCCTGACGTCAGGACGGTGGCGCTACGGCTATTGGGCCAACTCCACCAATCAGGAGGAGACAGCCACGGCCATTGCCGTTCGAAAGCGCTGGAGACGCTGTAGTACATATGCCAGGCCTGTAGGTGGTGCTGTTCTCACAGAATCAGCCCTTGCAAAAACAGGGGTAAAAAAGTGCAAATTGAGCGAAATGAGGCATGGCTAAAATGCATGATCTGTTTGGTATTTTGAAAAAAAAAAAGTATAAATATGCCTTATATAGGTATGGTCCTACACTATATTATTATAATATAGCATGATAGGTCCACTTTAAATTGAAAATAAGATGCTTTTTCTGAGACACATATCCACAATAACTGTGACCGCGACCTATGGTTTTCACAACCAAGTGATAGTGATGGTTGTTTGCAGAGAGCATTACAACAGAACATAATACTCATGAAAGTTACAAGGTCTATTATCATGCCTTGAATGAATGGCAAAGATTTACAGTATATCGTTCATATTGTGAGATATGAACTCCTTCACTTAATATTCCTGTTAAATCTGTGTTTATTTAACTGGCCTCCTTCCTTGTGACTAGGTTACTTAATTGTGTATAGAAAAAGTTTGTAAGATGCTTGTCGTTCATCTTGTTCTTAATGGCCATTCATATGAACTTTTCAAACCATTGAGTGCAATGCTAAACATGAATTCATTAATATCAGGGCTACATCCTGAGTATGACACAGTCATTGTGTCAAATTCATCTCTCGTAAAGTTCAAGGGTAAGTAGTCATGAAAGAGTTTTAAAGTGAGAATGTATTTGACTATTTTCAGTTCATGTGCATCTAGTTGGATGTTCAATCTGAGCTGAGTACTGACTTCTCCCAATTTCCTGACCAATAGTCAATTGAAGACAAATTTGCAGTGTTAGTCCTCATTACATTTAAAGGGCAGCTCCCCCCACACCAATATCTTCAACACACTTCCTGAGCTCCAGAAGGGGGCGCTCTGGTTCAGACCTATACTCTTTATACTACGACATTTTGGGCCAGTCAGAAAGCTGGATATTCCTTATTAATCTTTCCAGTGCCCTGACATTAGACAGTGCATTCATCTTCTTTACATCTTTTCCATTATGCATCTCCTATTCCGCCGTGTTGTGGAATGAAATGGCTACTAGCAAGAACCCATCGCCAGAACTGATGGAAAGTGGCAGGAAGAGGAAGAAGAGTTTATTGGAAATGACACTGTTGATCTTCAGTGCGAGTCATTTGACTGGTAGGGAGCGGGCGAGGAGCGGAGGGCGAGAGCATCACCTGGGCCTCGACAGATGTGACGCCTCCTGTACCTGCCAGGCCCCATTAGACGCAGCTGTTCTAAAAATAAAGCACCAGGGCTTCCTTTTTTGCAGCGGGGAAATCGGATCCTGTTCCTATTCCTGTAAAGTTCAAATGAGACACGTGCCTGCTTCCCCGCTTGGCCACACAAATGAGCACCTGCATAATCAATAAGGCCTCGCCGCCTTGTCTCTACTGATGGTGTTGTAGCGGTGGTGTCAGTCCATGTTTCTGTAGTCACGCCTCACACAGCAGGAAGTCTCAAACCCACCAGCTGAGCCTGCTACTCCTGCTCATTACTGTCCCCCCACCCTTGGAGCTCCAGGGCAGAAACCCAGAGGAGATCGCCACAGAGACACCCACTTATGCTGTCCACCTAGATTTAGCAAAGACCGTCAGAAGGACAGACATCTTGCTGGATATCGGACATCAACCTAGGAGCTGTAAAGTCAGCTCTGAACAGGTGTTGGAGAGAAATGAGCCTGACCCCTGGCCATGGCAGCAAAGGTGAAACATGAAACGAGACAACTGCCCATCCAGAGCTCACATGACTTTCCCCTGATCGCCCCTCCATCTTTCTGATTTGCAAAGAGGTGTCACTGGTACATCTTAAACGGGCAGAGTGCAGTTTTACAGGCCTCCTGCAGTGTGTTAATGTTTTGGGACAAAAGTCTCATCTCGGTCCTGGCCCGAGGAGATCTAATGGCGGCTTTACAAGGCTAATTAACAAGCCATGAGCGAAGTAATGAACTTTCTAAATGTGCTGGCAAATGCAAAAATAAATTACACCCCAGTGAAGGCATTAAAGGAAGTGTGAGTGTACTTGGGAGCCTTCCTTTGGGAGAGCCACAGCGAGAAAATGAATTTGGAGCTGCTATCTTTTCATTGCCTGACCTAAGAGTGTCTCAGTCGACCGACTGCCTGCCCCGGCCAGAGTCTAGATTGCTATTAATTAGTCCACTTTGCACCTGTCTCCAAAGCAGCTCTTATTGGATTTTACATGATCTCGCTCATCTCCTATGGCCACTTGCAAGCCACTTTAAATTGGCATTTTACGAATATGAATAAATATCTTGTAATACACCGAGCGCACCACGACTCAATGACTCCAAAGAGAAGTAGGTCGAGGAGAAAAAAAAGGACTTTTGCAAACACATGGATGTACTTTTTTTCAAGTGCAGTCGTGTATTTGCATTAAGAGGGGTGAGGACCTTTCTATGGAATTGTCAAGGATACAAAAGTATGACAGATCTCATTGAGCTCACTGTTTGACCTCTGGGTACTTATCTCTCAATGAGAGGGGCTCATCTTATCCTCTACAGAGCAGGGGCTCACAGCTGGAGAACATTTGAGCTCTACAGCACTTCTCTGCTCTCCTCTGTAGAGACCTTTGTAATGTGCACTTTTAAACCTTGTAACTACTTAAAAAATAGAATGTGTGTGTGTCTGTTAGTTATGATAATAAGCAGATACAAGGAAACAGTGTCTTGAAATGTGTTTGTGTCTATATGGAAAAATATGTTATATGAAACGTGCATTAGGGCTGCAAAATGTACCGAAATGTTATACAAATTGCAAAAAGGAGTACTGCAACATCCAGATTGTAATTATTATATTATTTTGCAGTACAGCTTCTTGTTTGGTATCGACCCTTTATTATAATTTTGATATATTTTTCAATGATTGGGTGAATAATGTTAAAAAATAAATATTGATTCAATTGCAATAATCGCAATTAGTTATTTTATGTATTATTTCAAAACTGAAGCCCTAACGTTACGTTAACGCCTATACACATTTGTGCTAGAAGACATATAACCTTATTTTCAGGCCATTGTCAGCACTCCCTTTCACACACAAGTCATCCACATGTCGTTTTGTTTCCTCATCTCCTGGCTAACCGTGGGAGCAATTGTGTGGAAAATGGTTCCATGTCAGTCTCCAGCCATGTCCAAACTGAGGTGGCATGTGGACAGCTCCGTTTTATGAATGCAAATAAAAAAACGGAGATCAAAAAAGTTATCAAAACACTACTGACATCTGACAATTGCTTGTCTCAGGAAACCTTTTCATTTCAGCGGCCGGTATATTAAAAATTAATGGATTTTGCACAGATGCCATATGCTGTCAAGATTGATGCTTCTCCCCCTGGAATAAAGTGCTACTTGTGGTATAGGCTGAAGTGTATGCATATAGATTGCGCTTTCCCTTTCCTCTGATCTCCTTTTGTCTTTCTATTGCCCTCTCAGTATATTTCTCTTTACCCTTTATTGTCATGCCTCACTCTACTCTCCCTCTCTCCAGGCATAGAGTCAGTTATTGACTATTTTCTTTTCAAAAGTTTCTGCTGGACTTAATGGGAATATTCTCTTTAAAGAGTTTCTCTCCTGTCCTGGTAAATAATCTTTTTTCTTTTTTTTTTCTTCTTTTTTTTTTCAACGATTCTATCACTTATTGCCCGCTGGCAGCAGTCAGGGAAGCTTGCTAGTAGTAAGTGTTCCGAAAGCATGGACAGCTGCATCCAACGATAAAAGACGCCTGCTAGGCCGCTGGGTGCATTTCAAATGCAGAGTAATGTTCCAGGCAGCACAACAGAGAACTTGTGCTTCTTATGGTCTCATTAGAAAAGCCTGATGCTGGTGCGCTGCTGCCTGGGAGGTCCGCCACCAGACCCCCTCACACATGTGGGCGTACAGACCGGGTGCACTACATTTTCAGAATGGAACATTGACTGATTTTTCATCATTACTGCATTTTCTTTTTGTTTAAAAACGGGACTAAAGGTGCCATTTGCTTTCAGAATAGGTTTTGGGTATTCTTAACCAATCATTTTAAACATATACAGGGAATCATTTGATTTAATATTTATTAATAAAAAAGCATTACTCGATGGAAGTATAATACTTAAGGATTTCATAGTTACCCTGTCAACCATTTCCCTACAGTACAGTGTTTCATTTAAGTCCCTGTAATATTAACATTTGCTAAATGCTAAATGCAGTTTCAATATGCACAGTGCATGTTCTAATTATTGTAAAATGAACATGATATACATTGGTATCTGTTGAGCTGAATTACTCCAACCTGCTTGGTTGCTTTTTCTTTCAACAAACATCTTCAATAACCTAATGAGTACAATTCTACTTACAGTATAACTCAAAATGAGTTGCTACCAGGCAAACAGAAGTAATTAGACCCCATCCCAGTGAAAATGATGTGTCTAAACCTTTCTGCTGCTGGTCCCAATCTGATGTATGCAAGTGGATTATCCGGTATAGTGAGGTGGTAAATGGAATAATCAGAGGAGAACAAACATTATAATTGTCAGTGTATCAGGCCCCGATGAGAGGAAACAGGCTATATGTTTGTAAATGCATTACTTATACCACTAAAGCTGTCATATCTGTTTACCCAGGGGAGTGGGAGGGGGGCTGTCAACCTTCTTGTATGCATGCACGATCAAAAAACAAGCTCAAAAGGATACTTGTAAGAGAAATGTGTGTTGCGACATCTGCCCAAATAGTCATTTTTCTACATTTGAAACATCTCTCCTAATGGCAAGGTCGAATCATGGCACTTTCCATAAGTCAATGCCTTAAAACCTTAAATGAATTCACTGTTTGAAATCTCTGAACTATTTTTCCTGTTCAAGTGTCCCCAATGTCGGTGTGTATTTATCAGCACACACATATCAACCGCTGCCAGGGTTCGTCTTGACTTTTCAGAGTTTTGCACGATCGTGTCCAGAGGCACAGAGGGATCTTTTGGCTTCATTTGCATGTAAAGTGGAGCGTGCTCTTCTGTGGGCGTGAGGTGCCTCCAGACAGCCCCTCCCATGTGGCAGACTGAGGCAGCCAGAAGCCCTCACTCTTCCCTACCTGCTGGGGTGGGGCATGACAGCACACTGCGCAACATCTTAAGGTCATGTCAATCTCTTCAGTGCCACGACTGGGGTCAACCTTCTGAAGAGCAGCAGGTTGGCAAGGACAAACACGACCCATTCACAAAGACTCGCCTCAGACAGACAGACAGAAAGGCATGGATGAGATATTAAAAAGGCTCACACAGGGCAGCACATGAAGGGATTTCAATGCTTCTGGCACTGTATAAGTATCCAATAAAACACAAGTGCAGGGAGCTAATAAACAAGTAGGGTAAAGAAAGAGACTGTGTGTAGACAAATGCACTTTGAGTGGCACTTTGTGAAAAAGTCGATGTTGATGGAGGTTGCCGGGCATTTCGGGAGAGTGTTGAAACCATCTTATCAGAGTTAATAAAAGAAGAGGGTGTTGCTGGCTGACCCGTCATCTCTCTTCTCATCAGTGTGGTCTCCAGACTCACAGCAGTGGAGAGAGGAGTGGGACCTGGCTCCAAGATTGTGTTTAGATAATGGCCATCTCCAATCATAGATAATCTGGCCCCATCTTTTCTTCACAGACACAGCGGCAGACAAGGTCAGGGGGAAAAAGATTCCTGGCGAGGCGAGGAGGAGATAGGGATGGGGCGGCTCTGAGATGATTTACTGCTGAGATTCACTCAGCTGCCTCCATCACCCTCCGTTAACTTTCTCATCCCGTCGTCTCTTCCCCTCTCGCGCTTTTTGTCTTCTTTCCCTCACTCGCTCGCATTCCTCCATGGGCCTTGCACTGAATCCCCATCTTTCTCACTATCACTCGCTTCATCTCTCCCTTTGCACTGCCGTACCAATGAGAAACGAAGAGAGGGACGAAGAGAGAGAACGGACGCAATACAGAATTTTTTTTTTCTACTTTCCCTCATTTCTTTCCCTTTTGGATTGAAGCTTGAGTTTTAAGGGGCCTTATAGAGTATGAGTTCCTGCACTGACCACAGAGCAAGCAGAAGACCCACGCCTCGATTGCCTCTCAGAATCTCTAAGTTGAAATCATTGTTTGATAGAATTGGGCAGCAAAGAAAATTGCTGTTAAGAGGCATCAGACAAATGTGGACTTTGTGGGGAAGAGGTCGGCTGACTCAAGGAACAGAAATAGATTTAAAGGCTGTGAAGCTCGCCTCCCACGCTCCATTCTTCCTTGATAATCCATTGAAAATATAAAATAAGACATGAGTCACTGTATTAGACAGCCAGAGAATCATCTCTGTGATCCACAATGGCAGCCGAGCAGCAGGATTGCGCAGCGCCAGGCCACCCCCAGTCATTTTCTGAGCCCTGGTTTTATTTCTCCTCCTGACACTCCCATATCCCCAGGGAGAGAGGATGTCTCTCAGGGACACCGTGAACAAAAGAGGGGCCACTGGACTCACTAGATGGAGTAATGGGCCCTAATGCCGGCAAATGCACGTAATCGAGACCTCAGCTCAACATCCAATGACAGATAATTGCTGATGTCTTGGTTGTGATAAATGTGACTCCTTTCCAGAGGTACAAATGTCCCGGTGCAGCCCTGGGTTTGACAATCGAAAGGCCCCACTGGGATTGGTGTACCTGACTGCTCCCAAGCCTTCCACAGATGAATCTCTTTCCACTTTCTCTCCTTTAGTCAGTCCTAGCAGGGCTGTCTATTTTCCTTTAACCACAGGCCTTCATAGTAAATCTCATTTCATTGTCAGCCGCGACTGTGGTTTACTTCCCCGGCCTGTGTGCTGACTTTCTGTTGCCATTAACGCTCAATATCTCTGTTGGGGCCTGTCTGCTTGGTCTTATTTCATTCTGTGCTGTGTCCTATCCTGTCTCCCCATATAGAAAGTTCATCTGACAGACTAGCCTGAGCTGTGCCAGCCTAAGAGCTCTCTGTATTTCATTCACACTGCCTGTTCATCTCCCTTCTCTTCCTGCTGAAAAAAGGGTAGTAATTGATATTGGGCCCCATCCATCCTCCCCTCTTAAGTCCAGAGATCCAATTTATCTTGGTGAGAATGCCGATTGGCTCTCGCCCAGGCCTTGTCGGTCAAACTTTGCCTGTTTTGTAGATGGCCGTTAATTAAAGTGCCGCCATGACAAAAATAAGATCTACATGGGGGTGTGTGTGTGTGTGTGTGTGTGTGTGTGGCAATAGAAATGGGCCATCTGATTCACACTTGACCACATAAATCAGCCGAGCGGCTCAGTCTAATCTGACCTAGGCAGTCTAAATCACCACTCTGAAATGCAAGCACAGGGCAGACACAGACCGGTCCAATTAGATCCAATTCCAGGCATGTAAATCTTTAACAGGCTTAATCTGCATTAACCTCTGTGATGTTAGTCACAAATGGCTTCAGAATGATCTAGTCAATCACCATGTCATTCAGATTAAAGATGGAGGGAGGACGCTGTGCAAGAGAATCGGTGCAATGTCAAAGCACAAATGCACATTTAAATGTTATTCAGCTTGCTGGCGCAGGGTTACTTTTTGAAAAAGATCAGCATATTAGAGAGTTGAACTTGCCAATACAGTATGCCAAATCAATCGATCTTTAGATCAGGGATTTTCCAATTCTGAAACTGTTGTCCTCCCCTTGAATAATGCGCCATAAACCCGTTTAGTTTCCTTGCTTAGTTTCCTTCGTTTCTGGGATCCCTATGGGACACAATGAAGTTATTTGATCCCATAGACACTAAACAATTGCTGACATAACTTCCAACTACACATACAATAATGTGCACAAGCATTTATTAGTTTGAGACTTTTAGAAAGTAGGTAAACGTGTGGATACTTCTATATTGTGATCTCTTTAACCAAATATATACAATACTACTATAATGATACTTTTATTAAGGTATATAATTCCAGTGTAATTATGTCACAGAACTATTAATGAGGCAAACGGGTAGATAGGTGTACTATAGGCAGATTTATATGTACTATGTGTGGATTTTAGAGCAGTAACGCAGGGACTGTTTATAATAGACAATAAATTGCGCTCTTACTTTTAGACAAAAAAAACAATATTGTGTACCACAAACACATTCTTTACCTCTTAATTATAACATATCCCACTTTGAAAGACTCATGTTGTCTTCATATAGTAACTAATAAAGTACATTTAGTCAAACGGATAGTGTCTCTCTCCACTAAGTAGCTCTGAGGTGCTTCTTTGTGTATGTTTGGGTTGTATCTCACTGCCTCTTATCTATGAGCGGATCTCTGCGGTGTTCATGGGACGGAGATCCTCCACTCCCCATTGTTTTCTGTTCCCTCTCTCTGTCTCGTTTATTTCTCTCCATGTTTCTCTGTCTCGTCTTTGAACCGCTCCCAGTGACTGTGAACCTGAGACAGCCCCTCTGCTGGCACAGATGGGAAGTCAATAGAAGCAAGTGACCTATATTGCGGACTACTCTACTACTCCCAGTGTGTCTCAAGTGAGAGCAGAATATTAAGGATAGTGTATTTGTGTGTTTGCGTGTGTGTGTGTGTGTTTTCTTTAAGGGGTGTGTGCAACGGAGACCAGGAGAAGGTTAATTACCTCCTCGTCCTTCGCTGTCGGCTGGCTTCACCTGGATGGGCCGGTTCATCTGGAGAAAGAGAGAAAAGAAAGAGAAGGGAAATCCCAGGTTAGCACAAAAACGATAGAAGCAATATGTGAAGTGGAAAGAGAACAAGTGCGATGTGGCAGTTTTTCTGACGTGCATGTCTTGAGTTTCTCCTGCTATGTGAGCTGAACGCAAAAATCAAACAGAGACGACGGTGTAAAAGAGATAAATCTGCGCGGTGTTTCATGCCAACGTGTTTAATTAATCCAGGGCACTGCCTCTGGAGATGCCTGAATTCCCCTCACAGTTCAGCAGAATTAGCACTTTTCAATGACGGAGCCACACTGGGTGTCACATGGCACTTGGAGATGAATACCATTACATCAGCCACTCCCTGCCCCACGGGGAGAGGTCCTTTCTGGCTGGCTCTTGCTCTTCCTGTCCCCTCCTGGCTCCAGACTCCCAGTCACCAGCTATATCCTGCTCATCCCTGACCCTCAGCGATCTCTCTCTCCCTGCCGCCATCCCTTCCTCCTCTCTACCCAGAAGCCCTGTTGCGACTCCGGACCAACGTGCCAGTGGTCTGGACAGCCAACCCCTCCCTGCCCCAGCCTGCTCCTCCTGGAAGCGATTGAGAGTGACTGCACAGCGAATCTGTGAAACAGCTTGTGAAAGGTTAACAGTAGGGAATCGATAAACAACCTTTGAAGAACCATTTTATAGTGAGGTGAAAGCAAACGTTGCCAAGCTAACATAAAAAAGGCTTTTTTAAAACTGCAATGGCGTGAATAAAAGGTCCCCTGGCTCTCTTTGCTCCCTTGTCAACAACCTAATTTTTACTCTCACTCCCTGGAGTTTGAATATAAAAGCAGAAAAAACACTCGACCCAGTGCCTTCACTGAAACAACAATAACATCCTCTCTTTCCTTTTTGGAAAGGTAGGTGTTAAGAGCCACCCTCGAAGACCTTTGCTTATTGAGGCTTCCCACGCATTTCATATTTGGCTTTTTGTTTTATTTCTGGCATGGTGTTTTCTGTCTTCAGTCAGCAGCAAGCCCCTCTTTCTAACTAGGCCATGCAGACAGGTCCAACATGTGAACGCCAGTGAATGGCACACGGTCCTGCCCCCTCAGATCTGTCAGCTCGGGCAGCACAGTGGCTGTTGGGCCCCCAGGCAACACAGCACTTGACAGCAGTTGACCGGGGCCAAATATAGACCTAAGACTTTGGACGTGTATAGACACGCGTACACATGGTGACACCCCGGGGACGTAATGTACGCGTCTAGCAAAATGCTGTGACGTTAGGAACAAAGCTAAAAGAGATGATGGACGTATCACAAAGACAAGCGAATGAAGCTGCACACACAGACATTCACACCAATACAAACAGACATGCATACATATAAACAGACGTGTCCAAAGGTGGAAGAGGTTGATAGTGTTTGACTTTTCTTATACTAACATGCAAAAGCGGCATGGTCTGTCGTAACTCATTTTCCGTACGTTCTCAGGGGGAAAGAGCTGGCTTGTTGAGGCTCTTGAAAATGAAATTGACATAGGGTCATGTTTGTTTGTGTTTAAAGTTTCAATGAAGGGTTGAAGGGGGGCACTTAGCATCATTATTAGAAAGTTTGTATGGCCTTAATCCGCCAGACAGGGGGATGTTCTATTTCTGGCTGGTTCAATATTGCACTAATTATGTTAGAAAGTGAATCTGAGGTAAGGTTCAGATAGGGTGAAGCATTGATATGTGAGTATGCTATGCGTGTGAGAGAATTAAGGTCAGTTGGTACATATTGTAAGTGTGTGTGAGTGTGTCTCAGGACGGGGGGAAGTTTAGAGTAGCCTGAGGTCCCCAAATCCCTGTCCAGTGATCAGTTGGCTTCCAGGTCTTAAACGGCAGCGATTGGTCAGGAGGCTTCATTAGTAGCCCCTGAGCCACTGCACCAACGAGAGTCATTAGACAACCCAAAAGTACACTTGGGGTTGCTAGGCAACCGAGCGGAGGTGGCCGGCAGGCAGGCAAAGCAAGGCAAGCTGGCCGCTGGTCTGTGGGCTGTTAGCCAACCAATCGACACTCCTTTCTTTCTTCTTTTTTTTCTTTCACTTGGTCCAACGAGGTCAGAGGAAAAAAAAGAAGATTTCTCAACTCCCACCTTCCAGCATGTCCCACTTTCATGTCCCTTTTTAGTGACTGTGACAATGAGTTTTCAGAGCGAGTCTGCTGAAACGTCTGCTCCAGCTTCCTGCCAATTTATGGAGTTCAGCGCCATGCCAAACTACGGGGAAGTGACGAGCGCTCACATGCAAATGGAAGGAATTAAGAGGTCTGCTTCTTTCAACTACTTTATAGTGTCCTCTACGTACACGTTCTTGTGCAAACTGAGGACATGTTTCTAGCACACACACACACACGCCTACTGCACAGAAATATTGAAGTTGACTTATATCGTCACTTTCTCTCGCTCGCTCTCTCACTGTCACACACACACACACACATACACACACACACACACACACACACACACACACACACACACACACACACACACACACACACACACATACTGTAGGCACAAAAAGTCTAGGGGCTCAATAACAGCAGGTGGCTTAGGTGACATTTTAATCCCTTATTACTGAGTGCAGGATTAGCCAACAGATCAAGGCAGAGTTAATTATACGAATTCATCAGAGGCTGGGCGAAGAGGCAGCCTGCGTTCCCCTAGGGCCAGGACCCACTCCCCCCCCACACCACCACCCACCCTTTGCCTACACACTTACAAACACACACATGAAGAACGAGGACAGTTACACGCTGAGGGAGAAGCTAGCTAGTTCCTTTTAGCATTGCAGCGGCAGGAAGCTACAGTGGAGCCTCAACAGATGTTGTAAGAAAAATGACAACCTTCCCATTGGGCATCGCAAAATGAACTGCATACATTGGAGAGAAGCACTACAGGTTTTTATATCCTATAGCCCTGTGGCTGCTGAGGCTGAAAGGAGTTCAACATCCCCCCGTCTTGCTTTATCTTTGTCTCTCTCTGCCCCTTTGGCCTCCAAAACCAATATGCTTCCCACCACAGCCCCTTAATGGGTTGATCAATGCTGACAAATAGGCAGCTCATGCTGTCTTGCCTGGGAACTCACAGCTCTGTGCCTGTGTGCTGCTGCACTTAGAAGGGCCATCTCTCTTTCTTCTCATCCTTTTTTCTGTCTTTGTCTTTCTTTCACCGTCCATATTTCCCCTTCCTTCATGCTCTATTTCCTTTATGTCTATACATTCATTTTTCTTTGCTCTAATCTCTAGAGGCAAATCTATACTTTTCATTCTGTAATGATGAATAAAAGTCATTGGCGGGTGGAAGGCCAACCGTGTGGAAGAGAGGAACTTGCTTACATTTTCCAGTAAAGGTCTGTGTGTGTGTGTGTGTGTGTGTGTGTGTGTGTGTGTGTGTGTGTGTGTGTGTGTGTGTGTGTGTGTGTGTGTGTGTGTGTGTGTGTGTGTGTGTGTGTGTGTGTGTGTGTGTGTGTGTGTGTGTGTGTGTGTGTGTGTGTGTGTGTGTGTGTGTGTGTGTGTGTGTGTGTTAGTTTCAGAGTGTACGTTTGTTGTGTGTGCATTTGAGTCCATCTTTCTTTCGGTCAATTTGATTGATAACAGTGTAGAGAAAGAGACCCCTGGCCTTTGACCATGTTATGTGAAAACCACTGCTCACAAGCAAGCAAGAGGAAATGCTTTGCCAGACAAATGTTCTCCAAGAACTTTGACACAAGTAGCTGTACTTTGGCTGTAGCTTTTACTTTTTTCTTTTTAGACGACTAGCAATATCCGATGTTAAGACCAAGTGTTTTGTGTTCAAAAGTTTGATTGGACAAAATAAATACCACCTGTGGGAAGATCCTGATTCTAAAATCTGAGTACCTTTATTTTTTTCTAGCTGCATGTGAATTATTAGCTGTTTTCTCATCTTCTCATCATATCTAGATCAGAACATTTTATTAAAAATACTTTAATAAGTTTTGGGTGATTAAGAACTTATTGTATTATTAAGTTGGATAATTCTGATGTCTTCTGGGTAGATATTTGGTCAAATGAGCACTGAGCTAAACACAAAGAAGGTTACATGTGCAGTAAATGTCATATGTCATTGGCAAGTTCCTCCATCCCATACAAGCTCATTATGTTATTTCTTCCTACTGTCTAATGTGATCCACTAACCCGCTTTCAAAATGTTCTCGCCTGACGCTGGCAGGACATAAACATGTCCAAGTACCTTGTGTCAGTTTAAACACAAGCGTAACATTTTATAACACTAACAGTTTTATTTATTGTTTTGCGTCTGTTATAATGCATTGTGTACTTTGCAAGTGGCCCATTGCCATTCTGGGTGCCTTTAGTTTGTTCTAATGAGGAAATTCATAAAGTTAGACCTAGTTTTGGCTACATCTCCATGCAACAAACAAAGCCACTTCTGCCAAAACTGTGATAGAGCATTACCCTGTTTGAGCCCCACATAAACTCACAATTTCCCAAAATAATCCTGTTTACATGACATCCCCCAAGAGAATTGTCAATGTTCTTTTTCGTCTTCCAAAACAAATAACTTGTTTCCTGACATGCCACTGTCAAATGTAACTAAAACAGTTTCTCCCATGTGTGTGCTCCAACATATCACGTTGTTCACCACAGCAGATCGAGCTGTGCTGCAATTTGAAATGCATTGAAACATAGAGTACAGTACTACATGTGTGTTGGATGCAGTGCTACATGCTGCTTTTGCCCACTGTGACCCAGGGATTGGTGAGAACTCATGCCACGACTAGTATCTTAATATATTGAGAAAGTTCCATAAGAGTGCTTATTAAAGCTAAGCTAACTGAACACATGTATTTCATTGTATTCTGTTATTCATACCTTTTCACAGTATAACAAATAACGTTATAGAAAAAATAATATTGCTACCAGTTAATCTGTTCTTGCTGTCATCTTTTCAAGTCATCTGGTAGCATTCTCTTGATCAGCCATCCATTGTTTCATGCCTC